ACTACTACTACTACACTACACTACTACTACTACTACTAAACCCCAAACCACCACCACCACCACCACTAGTGAACTTCGAAATGGTACCTCACTAGTATTGCACCTCACTCTGAGCCTTTATATACTTTCTGTATCCATGTATTGTTTGTAATGGCTTGATAAAGCTCCTAGAGAGCGAAACGTTGCCACAATAAAATGTCACATTAGTTGCACTTGTGTCCTTTTACTTTGTGTGTGTGATGAATGGTTTTGAAAACCGACAAGTTGAAGAATTGAGACACTTATGCAACACATGGGAATCTTTATTTAATCTTTACACAATTAGGCGAGTACAATTGAGTACAGTTCTAGTATTATTATAATCAAGGGAGAAGTGTTAATTATTATTATTATAATCAAGGGGAAGCGCTAAACCAGTAGAATTATACAGCGCCTGTGGGGGGGGATAGAAGGTATTCAGGCTTAATTCAGGGAGCTGGAGCACAGATCCAGTTCCCTAGATCAAGAGCCCCTCTCCAGCATCAAGGAACCTTCCTTGAGGGAACAGTTCTAGTAGATTTTCCTACATTTCACTCCTAACAGGCTTCCATTTTGAATTACTACTTACATTTTCGTCTTGTAGGGTCATAATTCTATGTTAAAAGTGGGGCCAGTAACTGGTTATAAGAACATAAGAAAGAAGGAACACTGCAACAGACCTACTGGCCTATGTGAGGAAGCTGCAATTCTCCCACCGGCTTAAGCCAATGCCTTGACCTAGTAAGGTCAGACGCGTCACTTAAGGGAGGAGCAGTGCATCCGACCTAGTAGCACAAACTAGTCAGATCCAACTCACACCCACCCAAACCCATTCGTGTATTTATCCAACCAATTTTTAAAACTACACAACGTCTTAGCGTCTATGACGGTACTCAGGAATTTGTTCCACTCGTCCACAACTCTATTACCAAACCAGTGCTTTCCTATATCCTTCCTGAATCTGAATTTTTCCAATTTAAAACCATTGCTGCAAGTCCTGTCTTGTTAGATACTTTTAGCATGCTATTTACATCCCCTTTATTAATTCCTGTTTTCCATTTATACACCTCAATCATATCTTTCCTAATTCTACGCCTTTCTAGAGAGTGCAGGCTCAGGGCCCTCAGTCTATCCTCATAGGGAAGATTTCCTTTTTACGTTTTCCAGTGCATTTATATCCATTCTGTAATACGGTGACCAAAATTGTGCAGCATAATCTAAATGAGGCCTAACCAAAGATATATAGAGTTGAACAACCTGAGGTACTGATGCAGACACTGTAATGAATACACCAAAGGATGGACAGGACCATGGTTTGAGCCTCCCATCCATCCTTTTGTTTATTCACTGACAGTCATTTATTATGCCTTAATCTGAGTTCATACACTAATGTTTAAGTGTTCTTCAGGTCTCCTCCATATTATCGATGACAACTCCATCATATTTGAATTAGCTGGCGCATTTTTGAAGAGTCGAAGACTGTCTTACGATGTAGTAATGACGTCCAGCAGCACTGGAAGCACGAGGGACATGAATCTAATTTGATTTGATTGAAAACAATCTGTTGTCCTCTAATCTGGACCAGAAGTTTTGAAGTTGAGTAGCAGAAAATAATAGCAGATGAACAAGGAGGCTTTAGGAAAGGTAGGGGGTGTGTGGACCAGGTGTTTACAGTGAAACATATGAGTGAACAGTATTTAGATAAGGCTAAAGAGGTCTTTGTGGCATTTATGGATATGGAAAAGGTGTATGACAGGGTGGATAGGGGGGCAATGTGGCAGATGTTGCAGGTGTATGGTAATAGGAGGGGTTATGAAAAGCAGTGAAGGTTTTTACGGGTAGTGAGCTCAAGTTGAGTATGGAAAGGGGGAAATTATTTCCCAGAAAATTGGCCCTTGAAAAGGATGTGTGAGTCACGTGGTTGTTTAATATATTTTTAGATGGGGTTGAAAAGAAAAGAAATGCGGGGTTTTGGGGCAAGAGGCATGGATTTTTTATTTATTTTTTATTATAAATTTATTTATTTTTTAAATTTGTGCACACTACAGAGGTACAAAAAAAATACGATAGACGTATGCCAAAGCACTTTACTATGATCTTACGGGCTGGCTTAAAATTAATTTAAAGATTAATTAAGCAAGATGAAGTCGTGAAAAACATTAATTAAACAGTTTACTATAAAGCAAAGGGGAGTATTACAAAGAAGGTCTTAAAGGGTTTCTGTTAGGAGTGTTTTTTAAAAAATAAAAAATTAGATTGGGTTTTAGGTTTAACATTTATGTGATAAATTGTGAGAAACTTTTAAAGATAACAATTTAAAAGGGTTCGTTATTCAGATTTAAATTTGGTTTTTTGGGGGGAGTATGATCTTTGAGTAGAGATTTAAATTTTATAAACAGGTATTTTCTTTTATTTTTAAGGTAATGAATTCCTTTTTTGGGGCCTTTATGGCATTGAGTTTTTGCATAGTGTGGATGAACACGAGGAACATCAAAGGTGATCTGTGCCTTGTGTATGGTCTTTTTTTTGTTGGGTTGGCAAAGGGGATGTTTGAGGGGGGGGTTAATATCAAGTTTTAAATGTTCTATGTATGTAATAGGTGCAGTAATAAGATGGAGTTTTGTGGGGTGAGTGGTTTTGTATTGAATTTTGGTGGAGTGTGCTGCCTGTAGTGAGAATTTGTTATCAAAAGATAAAGAATCCCACACAAAGTGGGAGTTGTCACAGTTGCTCTTTGCTGATGACACTGTGCTTTTGGGGAAAGATTCTGAAGAGAAGGTTCAGAGATTGGGGGATGAATTTGGTAGGGTATCCCAAAAGAAAAAAAAAGTGAATACGGGAAAGAGTAAGGTTATGAGGATAACAAAAAGATTAGGTGATGAAAGACTGGATATCAGATTGGAGGGAGAGAGTATGGAGGAGGTGAATGTATTCAGATATTGGGAGTGGACGTGTCAGCGGATGGGTCTATGAAAGATGAGGTGAACATAGAATTGATGAGGGGAAAAGGGTGAGTGGTGCACTTAGGAGTCTGTGGAGACAAAGAACTTTATCCTTGGAGGCAAAGAGGGGAATGCATGAGAGTATAGTTTTACCAATGCTCTTATATGGGTGTGAAGCATGGGTGATGAATGTTGCAGCAAGGAGAAGGCTGGAGGCAGTGGAGATGTCATGTCTGAGGGCAATGTGTGGTGTGAATATAATGCAGAGAATTCGTAGTTTGGAAGTTAGGAGGAGGTGCGGGATTACCAAAACTGTTGTCCAGAGGGCTGACGAAGGGTTGTTGAGGTGGTTCTGACATGTAGAGAGAATGGAGCAAAACAGAATAACTTCAAGAGTGTATCAGTCTGTAGTGGAAGGAAGGCGGGGTAGGGGTCGGCCTAGGAAAAGTTGGAGGGAGGGGGTAAAGGAGGTAAATGGTTTTTAATACTTGATGTGCTGTTGGAGTGTGAGCAAAGTAACATTTATGAAGGGGTTCAGGGAAACCGGCAGGCCGGACTTGAGTCCTGGAGATGGGAAGTACAGTGCCTGCACTCTGAAGGAGGGGTGTTAATGTTGCAGTTTAAAAACTGTAGTGTAAAGCACCCTTCTGGCAAGACAGTGATGGAGTGAATGATGGTGAAAGTTTTTCTTTTTCGGGCCACCCTGCCTTGGTGGGAATCGGCCAGTGTGATAATAATAATAATAATAATAATAATAATAATAATAAAAAAAAGGAACTTTCCTGTGGGAGATTGAGAGGTTGTGAATGTTGTAGCTGTTTTAATTTTTAAGGTTTAAATAATAAGATATTACAAGGACCACAATGGAAATAAGTCGCATAGACTTTTTTTGGGTTATCCTAGCTAATTTACATTATGTAAGATAATTCTGCTTATGTGTACCTGTGCTTAAATACACTTACAAATGACAGTACGAGTGACCAAGTCTGCATGTTTGTTGCTCAGAAAATCAGTGTGTAGAAGGCAGAAAAAAAAAATTAATTCTTGCTAGAAATGCGACACAACCGTTATTTTATATGAAGTATGATGGGGTGTGGTGAATCTGCATTCTCAATAGATTCTTCAGAAACGACAAGAATAGGAGGGTGCAATGTGCAAAATAGTGCTCGTCTTGGTAGATGGCCTAGTGCCATTCTGACTTAGGGCATGTGGATGCTCCCTGAATTATCTTTGTTGTGATGCAAGCCAGTTCCATGTATTTAATTGAGGAGAATTGCTAAACCCATAGAAGTCATAGTGCCTGGGAAATGTGAGGCATTCATGATCGATCCAAGTAGGTAAGAACAAGTTTGATCCCATACATCAAGGCACCATCCTTGAAGGATGAGTTCCATAGTCAAGAATAAGATGGGAGTCAGGTGCAAAATGAGTTTGCAAGCGGTTGCATGAAAGTTCTGGATTCTGAGGAGGGTCCATGAATGTTTTGGTGTCAGTATGCTGTATAGCCCTTGTGGCTTAGTGCTTCTTTTTTTATTATAATAATTGGTGTCAGTAGAGGTTGTTGCAATGTCTCTTTCATCAAAATAAAAACTTGGGACCACCTCTTACTCTACCTAGTGTACTTTATTATTATTAGTGAAATTAAGTGCTAAGCCCACATGGGTCATACATTATCTAGTGTACAAAACTAGGATGGCTAAAAAAAATATTAATATTTAAAAGTCTGAGTAGTAAGAGGAATTTTTAGGTATAGAAATTTAAATGAGCAATTCTTAGCAAAATCACTGTGTAATCATCTTTCAGTTAATGGTGGCAGGGAAACCGGCAAGAAGTCCTACACTTTCAGTTGCCATTCCTGGATCCACAGGCAATAATCAGCAGTTCTTCCATGTCAGAGGACCCACCAGATGGCTACCCCATGTCTCACCACTGGTTCCCTGACAAGCCTTCAGATGGAGCAACCCAGCCATGACAGCACTGCCAACAGAAGGTACATCAGAACAGGGCCACTAGTGATTTCCTTCCATCTAGTAGCTGGAGTTCACATAATAGGGAAAAATTCATACTAATTTAGTTAAAAGGAAAGGAAGGGTTGATGGATATTTAATATGATCCAAGGAGAGGAGAGGTGCACTCATTCAAATCACGAGCCCCTTTCTTCATAGCAAGGGTTGATTTCCCCTACCTCCTTGAAGCTCAAGGTATGAAGGGCTAGCCAGGACATTTAAGTAAATCTTCTTTAAATTGGCCATAGTAGTGTTCCGTGGCTTGGTAGGTAACTCCCTCGCCTCACATACTGAGTGTCTGTGGTTCGATCACTGACATGGGTGGAAACGTTGGGCATGTTTCCTTACACCTGCTGCCCCTGTTCACCTAGCAGTAAGTAGGTGTTAGCCAACTAGTATGGGTGTCATCCTGGGGGATAAGATTGAAGAACCCCAATAGAAATAAGACAGTCCTCGGTGATGCACCGACTTTCTTGGCTTATCCTGGGCGATTGATTCTCCGGGTTAAAAATCTTAATAAAATCTTTCTCCTACCAAAGCAGGGTGACCCACAAAAGAAATTTATTTGCCATCATTCATCTAATGAAAGTCTTGCCAGAAGCAAGTTAACATCACAGCTCAGGTGACCCCCTGAACTGCAACATCCTCAATTCTCCTTCAGAGTGCAGGCATTATAGTACTTCCCATCAGTAGGGGGTCATATAGCACCTGGGGGAATGGAAGGCATGTAGGATTGATGCAGGGAAAGGTAGAACAGGTCCAGTCCCTTGGATCAAGATCTCACCATTACATTCACATGAAAGTACTAAACTAGCAAATATCATAAGAGTGCATGAGGAATGCAACCCCTCAAGAAAGTGCTTTGATGCTTGGGAAGGGTTCTTGAGCTAAGGAACTGGGCTTACCTGCTTCCTTCCTTAGACTGCCTCTCATTCCTCTGGCACTGTATGACCTCAACAGGTTTAGTGCTTACCCAATTTAAATAAGAATATAGTCAGGAACAGGAGACATTTAATCCAGGGAAAGAGAGAGTAGCTCCAATTCCTCAGATTAAGTCTTCAAGACACCTCCCTTTGAAAGCAGAGGTGTAATAATCTCATGAAATAAATCATTGTTGATCACACATTTATTTTTAACTAACACATCAGTCATTTCCCACCAAGGCAAGGTGGCCCTGAAAAAGAAGAAACACTTTCATCATTCACTCCATCACTGTCTAGTCAGAGGTGTTCCTACACTACAGTTATAAAACGACAACATAACACTCCTCCTTCAGAGCTCAGGCAATATACATCCCACGTAATTTTTTTTTTTTCAACACACTGGTCATCTCCCGCCAAGACAGGATGACCCAAAAAAAGAAACCCTTTCACTATCATTCACACTCACTGTCTCTATATTATTATAAGCTTCATATTATCATAATAAGTGCTAAACCCAAAAGGGTCATACATCACACTAATAAGGTTAAGCAAATACTGATTTCTGTTACAATGTAATTACTCCATACTTATACATTGTTGAAAACATCATCATTAGTCGAATATGATAAAAAGTCAACCATATTTAACATGAGCTATGTTACAGTTTAGACTTTGAAGTCTTGGAGATGGGTATGAAAGGTCTCATCAGGGGATACAAGGCTAAACCTTGCTTAAACTCTGCAATGTCAGTTATCAACTCAGTCTGCAAAGAAAAAAATATTAATCTTACTTGACTGAATTAAAAGACATTATAAAATTAAAATCAAACTTGAAAATGCATTAAGGTAGTTGAGAGCAGTATTTAATCATACAATTTTAATTCAAGTACATGTAGCTACCAATCCAGAGAAACAATGTACATTTTTAAGAAAATTCTGCTTGATAGCAAAAACACAACCACAGTTTAGTGTTTTGTTTTTACAAAACTTCACCTAATATAGTAGACATCAGAAATAATGGATTAAATAGTCCACAGAAAGTGACATCACTTGTTTAGTTGTCGGCAAAACTACTGTAGTGTGGAAGATGCACTGCAGGAGGCCTACTGGCCCATGCTCAATTTACTGTTTTAATAGGCTATGCACTATGGAAGCAGACAAAGTAAACATCCCATTGTTTTGTTCAAGGCTGTTGCTAACTTTAATACCTGATGATTTGGGCAGCTTCTTAGTTTGTCATGTTCCTGATATAGTAATTGAGTTTTATTCCAGGCCAACTTCTATACAGAAACATGACAGAGAAGATGCCGTGAATCATTGGTTATTAAAGCAACAAACACCAACAAAATAATGGGATGTTTATTTTGCCCCCCACAGTAAGTATTGTATTAAGGTGTAAATTCAATTGTCTCATGAAATCGTCATTACGCGATTGCAAACAAACCATACCATGGGTAGGGATTGAACTCATGATGAGTGAGTCTTAAAACTCCAGGCCAATATGTAAGACACTGGGCCAGCTGGCTACAATGAGATTCATCCAACTAGGTATATTTATACACCATAGAGGTTAACACAGGCCCCACTGTGACCACAAATGAAAAATTTTACAGATGAATCTCCCGCTAGCATGGCCATGTGGCCACACTGGTGGGAGATTCGTATGTAAAAACTTGCATCTGTGGTCAGTGGGGCCTGTGCTAACCTCTCTATGGTGCATAAATATACCTAGTTGGATGAATCTCATTGTAGCCAGCTGGCCTGGAGTTTTAAGACTCACCACAAGTTCAGTCCCCACCTATGGTATGGTTTGTGTACACAAATAACCTGCATGTAGGAAAGAGGAACTTACGGCGACATTTCGGTCCAACTTGGACCATTTACAAAGTAACACTAACAAAAAGGAGAGGAGGGAGTATATATAGGCCAGCAGATAGGGATAGGTCAAGAGAGGTAGTAGGAAAGGAAGAAGAGAGGTAGTGGTAGAGGTGGTGGAGGCAGTCAAAGACAAAGTAAGAGGAGCACTGCAAGGGAGCTAGGGGCCCACGAAGGGTAGGAACAAGAACACAAAAGGGGCAAAAAATTAATAATGGACCAAACACCCAAGGCAGAAGAAAGAGAACCCAAAGGAGAAAGAGAGAGAGAAGAGGAAAAAAGAATCAGGTTAAGTCACGGGTGTTCTGAAGTTTGGAGCATTTTGCAATGTGATGGGAAAAGGAAAGCATCCACAGAGACAAAGCCAGGACTAAGATTCATACAAGGAAAGTTATGTATAAGGGAGGATTTAACCAGATGGTGACTGTGAAAGTTAGAAGGGTAGACAGTTTTAACAGAAGACCAGTCAATAGGATGACTGTGACCTCTGATATGACAGAAAAGAGCAATGTTGGTGTCGGCAAGCCTAACACTTCTACTGTGCTCCCTGAATCTGTCAGAAAGAGAATGGCCAATTTCTCCAAAGTACTGAAGAGGACAAGAGGAGCAAGAAATAGAGTAGACACCACAAGCATCTTTAGAGGGTGGAGAAGTATGAATTATATTGGTGCAAAAAGTAAGTTTGATGTCTAAGGAATGGAGAGAGTTGTTGAGATTAGAAAGACTGGAAATATAAGGAAGGCAGAGGACAGGAGAGTTCCCAGGAGTAGAGAGTTCGAGAGAGAAGAAAGTTCATTAGCACGTGAGAGGGCAGAGTCGATGAAATTGGAAGGGTAGTCAAGAAGGGAAAAGGAATTACAAAGAGTGGAAATTTCTGATTCAAGAAACTGAGGATCACAAATGTGAAGAGCACGGAGAAAGAGGGAAATAAGAACACTTTTCTTGACAGAGGAAGCATGATAAGTAGTGAATGTACATGCCACTGTGCATAGGCTTGCAGTACATGGAAAAAGCAAAGCCTGTATCTGAAAAGTGGACATGAACATCAAGGAAAGGAAGCAAGGAATTAGATTTCCATTCTGCTTTCAACTTAATGAAAAAGGCAAGATTATTAAGGGCATCAGGAAATGGCTGGAAGAGACTGAAGTCATGAGGCCAAAGAGCAAAGATGTCATTTACATGTGCACCCTTCACTCTGGCTCTATGTACATGACATCTTTGCTTTTTGACCTCATGACTTCAGTCTCTTCCAGCCATTTCTTGATGCTCTTAATCTTACTGCTTCCATTAAGCTGAAAGCAAAATGGGAATCAAATTCCTTGCTTTCTTTCCTTGATGTTCATGCCCACTGCTCAGATACAGGCTTTGCTTTTTCCATGTACCGCAAGCCTATGCACAGTGGCATGTACATTCACTACTTTTCTTATCATGCTTCCTAAGTCAAGAAAAGTGTTCTTATTTCCCTCTTTCTCTGTGCTCTCCACATTTGTGATCCTCAGTTCCTTGAATCAGAAATTTCCACTCTTCATAATTCATTTTCCTGTCTTGACTACCCTTCCAATTTCGTAGACTCTGCCTTCTCCGTGCTAAACAGACTTTCTTCTCTCCCAAACTCTCTACTCATGGGAACTTTCCTGTCCTCTGCCTTCCTTATATTTCCAGTCTTTCTAATCTCAACAACTCTCTCCATTCCTTCGACATCAAACTTACTTTTTGCACCAATCTAATTCATACCTCTCCTCCCTGTATAGATGCTCCTGGTGTATACTCTATTTCTTGTTCCTCTTGTCCTCTTCAGTACTTTGGAGAAATTAGCCATCCTCTTTCTGACAGACTCAGGGAGCACAAAAGCAGTGTTAGGCTTGCCGACACCAACATTGCTCTTTTCTGTCATGTCAGAGATCAGTCATCTTATTGACTGGCCTTCTGATAAAACTGGCCACCTTTCTAACTTTCACAGTCACCATCAGGTTGAATCCTCCCTTATACACAACTTTCCTTGTATAAATCTCAGTTTTGGCTTTGTCTCTATAGATGCCTTCCTTACCCATCACATTGTAAAATGCTCCAAACTTCTTAACACCCATTACTTAACCTGATTCTTTTTTACCCTTCTCCCTCTTCCCCTTTCCTCTTTCTCCTTTGGGCTCCCTTTCTTCTGCCTTGGGTGTTTGGTCCATTTTAATTTTTCCCCCCTGTGTTCTTGTTCCTACCCCTAGTGGGCCCCTAGCTCCCTTGCAGTACTCCACTACTACTACATCTCGCTACCTCTCTCCTTCCTTTCCTACTACCTCTCTTGTCCTGTCCCTGTCTGCTGGCCTATATATACTCCCTCCTCATCTTTTTGTTAGTGTGGCTTTGTAAATGGTCCAAGTTGAACTGAAACATCGTCGTAAGCTAACCAAACCATACCCCCAGCTCCTCTCTCGTGTGCTGGTTATTTGTGTATTGTTCCAGTCACAGTATTCTGCCTTTTTGTTGTTCATGGTTTGTGAAAACTGAACATGGGCTGGTAGGCCGCCTGCAGTGCACCTTCCACATTGAAGTAGTTTTACTTACACCTAGGCACATGATTACTACCTGTGGACCATTTAAGCCCAGTGCTGGACAAAGGACTTCACTGCTACCATGTCTTCCTTGACAGCTTGCTATTATCTCCACCAAAACTATTAGTCCACCCATGTAAATAAGGACAGTAACGGACTAAGCCCAAATAAAAATACCCCAAAAAATTACAGAAACAAAACTGACATCTCCAAATTGGACACCAGGTGCATTACTCTTCTTGAAGTGTGTATTCTTAAAACATCTTTATTAGATATGTTTTGGTCCCAGGACCTTGGTCACTCCAGATGATACAAGAATGGTACTGATGATTGTCAGATAAATGTATGAGATCATCAAACTGCTGTCACATGGGAGCTGAGAAGCATGTAACAGTATCATGTGAACCAGAGTTGATGAGATGATACATTGGCAGTGTGGCTGCCAGGTAGAAAGAACAATATGATACAGTAAAGCAGCAGGAGTTTACAGCATACCATGAGAAGGCTGCAATAAAATCTACATATGAAGCTTCCCACAATTTCAAAAATACTGAAATGCGGATGACACCAGCAATGTTTGTCATGTGCAAGCCTAAAGAGGGCTATCTAATGCACAAGAATGATACTGAAATGATAAACAGAACACAACAGGGATAGACGCCACTGTTCTGAAGAATCCTTAATTGCTACTTCTATGCCACAGAAAAGGAGGCAGGCAAATATATTTCGACTGTCACACACTTCTCCATGGCTGCCACGCGACACCAAAATTACAAGACATCATGCCTCCACCTAACACCAGTGACATGCATTCTCCACTACATAAACTGTGCTTTTTCATTGTCTTGCATCATTTGGAGTGGCCAAGGTCCCGGGATCAAAACATATCTAATAAAAATGTTCTAATTATATGCATGTGTTTCCTCTCATCCACAATGTATCAATATACTGTCTACCTTATTTAATCTGCTCCTGTACAAACAAATAATCACACAAAAAATAATCGTTTTTAATGATACAAAATTTGGAGGAAAGGCAGCAGCAAATAGATCGTGTTTAACCCTCAAACTGTCCAAATGTAGATCTACGTTCGCTCGCATAGAGCTCTGAACATAGCTTTTTTTTTTTTTTTTTTTTTTTTTTTTTACATATGAAAGCATGTAAAATCAAATGTAGATCTACATTTGGACAGTTTAAGGGTTAAAAACATCAAATAAGGATAATAGATGGAATATTTTCCAAGTAGTTTAATTTTACTTTTTTGTTGCTGCATTTCTTTCAGTTGCTTGTGGAATAATGATAAAAGAATTTATTTACATGTATAAAAAAACTTTAGCAGAGATATGGCACTGAATCCTCAAGAGAAAGCAAAATAAGATCTTGGCTATAATTAGAGTGCACTTAAACAAGGAAGAGTAATTGCTATGTCCAATGGTAATTTACAACCCAATTTACCTCTTTGAGCGGAGGTGGACGGCAAAGACCATCATCAGGCTGGGTGGTGGGTGGCTGAGATGCTTCTAGGTCTCCTGCACCACCAGAAGCTACAGACACTACTTGCACTGACAGCTTCTTCCGCTGGCCTGCTGTGTTTTCTATGAATTCCTGTCGGGACAAATTTTGTTTTAAAACTTACTGTGAATGACAGATTTTGCCATACAGCAATGATGAAGAAGCCCTCTGATTCATTTTTACACACTATGAAAACTTGTGTACTGAAACTACATTCTAAATATAACTTTTTCTAAAAGCAGCTATTAAAAAAAAATTCTCTGCTCCATCAATATATGTGCATACAGATAGAATTCAGTGTTTTTGCTACACTTAATAAAACTTCTGCAATTTGGCTTAACAGAAGTAGATAGTACAAAATTAAAATTTAACCTGCTGTATTGAGATGCATAATAATTATTTCTCCATGAGAAAGTGGAAAAGAATTCTTTCTCTGTAAGCCATGCGTGTCGTAAGAGGTGACTAAAATGCCAGAAGCAATGGGCTAATAACCTCTTCTCCTGTATCCATAACTAAATGTAGAGAGAGACTTTAGTTTTTGTTTGGTCATCCTGCCTCGGTGGGATACAGCTGGTGCGTTGAGAAAAAATACACATACCATACAATGCATATTTTTTTTGTTTTTACATTGTGGGAAGTTGAGGTTGTTGGGACACCCTTAAATGAACATTTTTTTTTTTAAAGACAGCACAAAAAACATTATGAAAGGCATATAACAGCAGGGCCAAGAAAAATTCAAACTCATTTTTATGAACTGCCTACTGAAGAGCCTAGGAATCTAAGTTTAATCTTGCTGAGGGACACACTTACTCGAATTTGGTTCAAGTTAGTTTCTGGAGTATGGTTATATCCCCACCAGCTTCTTGTAAATGCCCAACTGATTCACATTAAGTATATCCATGGCTATACCTAAAACATGAAACAAAGCTTACCATAAAACACTCATAATACTGCAATATTTGCTAACCTTGTAGAAATCTATCACATTTTGCTTGGTGAGTGTCTTTAGGTGTGCCACCTCACAAGCATCACGGTCAAAGTGATACTGATTGGATGTGATCTCCACCCACCAGTTGGCAGTAAGATGAGAGAGTTTCTTTGGACGTTCTAAACGGCGGCTTGCCAGAGCTTCTCTATGACGTACAAAGTCTTCTTCGGAAAGCTTTTCTAGGTTTTCCTATAAATGAAAGGTAAGAAATGTTACATAGTTTCATTTAACAAATAACAATAAAACAGACATTATGAGTAAACATGGACATACATACTGTTATGCAATAATCATGACGAGTGATAAAAGATGAAAAATAACCACAGGGGGTTGAATGATAGCTCTAGGGCTTTTATGTTGCAATCAACACATCTCCTGATGATGTGCTGATTGCAACACAAAAGGTCTAGAGCCATCAACTTCCCCTGTGGCTATATTGCATACATATCGTTTTCTAAAACATTTCGTCTTGGGACCCTGATCACTTCTCAAAGTCCCAATGATTATTATTATCATAATGAAAAAGAAGTGCTAAACCTACAAGGGTCATGCAGTGCAGCATCAAGGTCCCAAGACCAAAACATTTATTAGAAAATGTCCTAGGATTTCCTCACGTCTTTTTAAACCGCTTGGCAGTAACCATTACCAAGGTTTTTACTACATCTTCATTGATATATATATATATATATATATATATATATATTGGCAGTTTGGAGGGATATGTTGTGTATCTTTATACGTATATGCTTCTAAACTGTTGTATTCTGAGCACCTCTGCAAAAGCAGTGATAATGTGTGAGTGTGGTGAAAGTGTTGAATGATGATGAAAGTATTTTCTTTTTGGGGATTTTCTTTCTTTTTTGGGTCACCCTGCCTCGGTGGGAGACGGCCGACTTGTTGAAAAAAAAAAAATATATATATAAATATATACAGTGGACCCCCGGTTAACGATACTTTTTCACTCCATAAGTATGTTCAGGTGCCAGTACTGACCGAATTTATTCCCATAAGGAATATTGTGAAGTAGATTAGTCCATTTCAGACCCCCAAACATACACGTACAAACGCACTTACATAAATACACTTAAATAATTGGTTGCATTCGGAGGTAATCGTTATGCGGGGGTCCACTGTATATGTAAATATTCAACTCTGCTTCTTGGAAATATTCATTTAGAATTAAACTGTTTTCCAATAAATTCTGTGTAAAATAATATAAACTGACAGAATTACTTACTCCCATCTTGTACAGGAATGATTCGATCCTGGAGTCGAGATACTCTGGATGGCGGTCTCCTTGTACTATGACTCGCAAGCCTTGGGTACCATTAGCACGTCTGATCCCACACCACACAATATAACCAAGCTGTTCCTGAGAAACATAATCACAATATGAAATAGCAGAGAATAAAAAGGCACGATGTCGTCACTGGAATACACAAACAACCCGTACGTAGAGAATAAAACTTATGACGACATTTCAGTTCGACTTGGACCATTAACTAGTCACAGAGAAGCGCCCCTGTTGCATCATAAGTTTCATTCTGAGTGTGTGTGGGTTATTTGTGTATGAAACAGCAAAATTGTTCCTTGAAAGCAAGGCAGGCTTGAGTCCTGGAGGTGAGAAGCATACTGCCTGCGCTCTGAAGGAGGGGTGAGGACGCTACAGTCTAGAGGGTCATTTGAAATGTAATGTCAGCATGCTTCTGGCAAGACAGTGATTGAGTGATGGTGACTGTTTCTTTTTACCCTACCTTTGTCAGAGACAACCAGTTAAAAAAAAAAAAAAAAAAAGAGGTGCAATTTAGGCAAGGCCATTTTTTAAGCATAAGCATTTTTCATAAGAACATAAGAAAGGAGGAACACTGCAGGAGGCCTGCTGGCCCATACTAGGCAGGTCCTTTACAATTCATCCCACTAACAAAACATTTGCCCAACCCAATTTTCAATGCCACCCAAGAAATAAGCTCTGATGTGAAAGTCCCACTCAAATCCAACCCCTCCCACTCATGTACTTATCCAACCTAGATTTGAAACTACCCAAAGTCCCAGCCTCAATAACCCAACTAGGTAGACTGTTCCACTCATCAACTACCCTATTTCCAAACCAATACTTTCCTATGTCCTTTCTAAATCTAAACTTATCTAATTTAAATCCATTACTGCGGGTTCTCTCTTGGAGAGACATCCTCAAGACCTTATTAATGCCTATCTTCCACTTATACACTTCGATCAGGTCTCCCCTCATTCTTCGTCTAACAAGTGAATGTAACTTAAGAGTCTTTAATCTTTCTTCATTAGGAAGATTTCTAATGCCATGTATTAATTTAGTCATCCTACGCTGAATGTTTTCTAACGAATTTATGTCCATTTTGTAATACGGAGACCAGAACTGAGCTGCATAATCTAGGTGAGGCCTTACTAATGATGCATAAAGCTGCAGTATGACCTCTGGACTTCTGTTGCTTACACTTCTTGATATAAATCCCAGTAATCTATTTGCCTTATTACGTACGCTTAGGCATTGCTGTCTTGGTTTAAGGTTGCTGCTCACCATAACCCCCAAGTCCTTTTCGCAATCTGTATGGCTAAGTTCTACATCATTTAACTTATAAGTACTAGGGTTATGGGCACTCCCAAGCTTCAGAACCTTGCATTTATCTACATTGAACTGCATCTGCCACTTTTCTGACCAAGAATAGAGTTTGTTTAAATCCTCCTGAAGTTCCATAACATCTACGTTTGAATCAATTATCCTACCTATCTTTGTGTCATCGGCGAATTTGCTCATATCACTAGTAATACCCTCATCAAGATCATTGATATATATTATAAACAACAACGGGCCCAAGACTGATCCCTGTGGAACGCCACTTGTTACAGATCCCCACTCGGATTTAACCCCATTTATGGACACTCTCTGCTTCCTGTCAGTGAGCCATGACTCGATCCACGAGAGCACTTTTTCCCCAATGCCATGAGCTGCCACTTTCTTTAACAGTCTATGGTGCGGAACTCTATCAAAAGCCTTACTAAAAATCTAAGTAAATAATATCAAATTCTTATTGTGGTCAACAGCCTCAAAAGCTTTACTGAAGAAAGTTAATAAATTAGTTAGACAAGACCGGCCTCTTGTGAATCCATGCTGAGTATCATTAATCAAGCTATGCTTATCGAGATGGCTTCTTATAATCTCAGCTATAATTGACTCTAGTAATTTGCCTACAATTGAGGTCAGGCTTATTGGGCGTAATTTGACGGTAACGACTTGTCCCCTGTTTTAAAAATAGGAGTTACATTAGCCATCTTCCACATATCAGACACTACACCTGTTTGAAGAGATAAATTAAAAATATTAGTTAATGGTTCACAGAGCTCCATTTTGCATTCCTTAAGAATCCTTGAAAAAACCTCATCAGGACCCGGCGACTTATTTTGCTTCAGTCTGTCTATCTGCTTCACAACCATCTCACTAGTGACTGTGATGTTACATAATTTATCTTCTTCTAGCCCACTATAAAAATTAATTACTGGAATATTGTTAGTGTCTTCCTGTGTAAAAACTGAGAGAAAATAATTATTTAAAATCAAGCACATTTCATTCTCTTTGTCAGTAAGGTGCCCATAGTTATTTTTAAGGGGACCTATCTTATCTCTAGCTTTTGTTCTATAGACCTGGAAAAAACTTTTTGGGTTAGTTTTAGAATCCCTAGCAACTTTAATTTCATAGTCCCTTTTAGCTTTTCTTATCCCCTTTTTAATGTCCCTCTTAATGTCAATATACTGATTCATAAGATGACCCTCACCTCTTTTGATACGCCTATAAATTCCTTTCTTATGCCCTAGTAGATATTTGAGCCTATTATTCATCCATTTTGGGTCATTTCTATTTGATCTAATTTCTTTATATGGGATAAACGCTCTTTGAGCAGCACGTATAGTGTTCAGAAAACTGTCATATTGATAGCTCTCTTCGTTACCCCAGTCAACAGATGATAAGTGTTCTCTAAGCCCATCATAATCTGCTAAGCGAAAATCTGGGACTGTTACTGAGTTATCGCTACTATCGTACTTCCATTCAATGCTAAATGTAATTGATTTGTGGTCGCTAGCACCCAGTTCCTCTGAAATTTCTAAATTATTAACAAGGGATTCATTGTTTGCCATAACTAAGTCAAGCAGGTTATTTCCCCTTGTAGGTTCTGTCACAAACTGCTTCAAAAAACAATCCTGAAATACTTCTAAGAAGTCGTATGATTCTAAATTCCCAGTCAAGAAATTCCAATCAACATGACTAAAGTTAAAGTCTCCTAGAATTACTACATTATCGTGCCTTGTGGCCTTAACAATTTCCTCCCATAGTAGTTTCCCTTGGCCCCTATCTAATAGAAAGTAAAAAAAAAATTAATGAGAAGTGTTATAAGCAGCTTATAATTATATTTGATATGGAAGCACTAAAGACCAAACAGATATTCAAGTTTGATCTAGGGAAGAGGAGGGTTGTCACAGAATCCAGAGCCCTTCACTAGCATCAACACACTTTGTTTTTCAAAGGTTAAAATGAATAGGAAGAGAAGCAAAAGCAAGATGGGAAAGGTAATGAAAACTTGTGAAAATGAATGTTGATAAAAGCATAGAATTCAAATAAAGATAGATGGTAACCAAGATAATAAAATAACATGTGGATATTTTTTTACCTCAATGGCCATCTTCCACCAAGGCAGAGAGACTGTGCTGACATCACAATCAGTTTAACCCCTTGGCAAAAAACATCCTCCAGAGTAGAGGTTAACTAAACTCACTACTCACACTCCAACAGTATATCAACACCACTTATCTTAATTCACTCTTATCTAACATGCTCACATAAGCTTGCTGGATAAAGAATAAAAAGGCATAATACCTGTTGAATATACCTGGTAAAGTGTATGGTAGAGTTATTATTGAAAGAATTAAGAGTAAGACGGAGAATAGGATAGCAGATGAACAAGGAGGCTTTAGGAAAGGTAGGGGGTGTGTGGACCAGGTGTTTACAGTGAAACATATAAGTGAACAGTATTTAGATAAGGCTAAAGATGTCTTTGCGGCATTTATGGATTTGGAAAAGGCGTATGACAGGGTGGATAGGGGGGCAATGTGGCAGATGTTGCAGGTGTATGGTGCAGGAGGTAGGTTACTGAAAGCAGTGAAGAGTTTTTACGAGGATAGTGAGGCTCAAGTTAGAGTATGTAGGAAAGAGGGAAATTATTTCCCAGTAAAAGTAGGCCTTAGACAAGGATGTGTGATGTCACCGTGGTTGTTTAATATACAGTGGACCCCCGGTTAACGATATTTTTTCACTCCAGAAGTATGTTCAGGTGCCAGTACTGACCGAATTTATTCCCATAAGGAATATTGTGAAGTAGATTAGTCCATTTCAGACCCCCAAACATACACGTACAAACGCACTTACATAAATACACTTACATAATTGGTCGCATTCGGAGGTGATCGTTATGCAGGGGTTCACTGTATTTATAGATGGGGTTGTAAGAGAAGTAAATGCGAGGGTCTTGGCAAGAGGCGTGGAGTTAAAAGATAAAGAATCACACATAAAGTGGGAGTTGTCACAGTTGCTCTTTGCTGATGACACTGTGCTCTTGGGAGATTCTGAAGAGAAGTTGCAGAGATTGGTGGATGAATTTGGTAGGGTGTGCAAAAGAAGAAAATTAAAAGCGAATACAGGAAAGAGTAAGGTTATGAGGATAAAAATATTAGGTGATGAAAGATTGGATATCAGATTGGAGGGAGAGAGTATGGAGGAGGTGAATGTATTCAGATATTTGGGAGTGGACGTGTCAGCGGATGGGTCTATGAAAGATGAGGTGAATCAAAGAATTGATGAGGGGAAAAGAGTGAGTGGTGCACTTAGGAGTCTGTGGAGACAAAGAAGTTTGTCCTTGGAGGCAAAGAGGGGAATGTATGAGAGTATAGTTTTACCAACGCTCTTATACGGGTGTGAAGCATGGGTGATGAATGTTGCAGCGAGGAGAAGGCTGGAGGCAGTGGAGATGTCATGTCTGAGGGCAATGTGTGGTGTGAATATAATGCAGAGAATTCGTAGTTTGGAAGTTAGGAGGAGGTGCGGGATTACCAAAACTGTTGTCCAGAGGGCTGACGAAGGGTTGTTGAGGTGGTTCGGACATGTAGAGAGAATGGAGCGAAACAGAGTGATTTCAAGAGTGTATCAGTCTGTAGTGGAAGGAAGGCGGGGTAGGGGTCGGCCTAGGAAAGGTTGGAGGGGGTAGAGGAGGTTTTGTGTGCGAGGGGCTTGGACTTCCAGCAGGCATGCGTTAGCGTGTTTGATAGGAATGAATGGAGACAAATGGTTTTTAATATTTGACGTGCTGTTGGAGTGTGAGCAAAGTAACATTTATGAAGGGGTTCAGGGAAACTGGCAGGCCGGACTCGAATCCTGGAGATGGGAAGTACAGTGCCTGCACTCTGAAGGAGGGGTGTTAATGTTGCAGTTTAAAAACTGTAGTGTAAAGCACCCTTCTGGCAAGACAGTGATGGAGTGAATGATGGTGAAAGTTTTTCTTTTTTGGGCCACCCTGCCTTGGTGGGAATCGGCCAGTGTGATAATAATAAAAAAAAATAAATACCATGACTGGAACAATACACAACCCGCATGTAGGAGACAAACTTATGACAACATTTCGGTCCAACTTTGGCCATTAACTAGTCACACACTACAATGTCATCATAAGATTCAGTTTTCTTTGGGTTATCTGTGCAAGCTTGTGGGATGCTCAAGCCCTCATAACTTAAAGCCCCTTTATTCCCCCCCTCCCTTTAACCATTCCTGGAAGAGCCCCTAACTCTCTCAAGCACTGCTTCAAGCTTATTTGTTGAAAATTTATGGAGTGACTGATCAGTTACTCTTCCATACACCATGGACTTGGGTACAGTATTATACAGTAACAAAATACAAATTACTGGTAGTTCACTGAATGCAACAAAGGTGTTCAATTGGCATTTTTTAAATTACATCTTTATAACACTAAATGTCAGAGGGCAATATGTATTGTGATGTCAGCACACTCACTCCTGGAAAGCCAGTGATTGAATGAATGATGGCAAGTGCATTTTCTTTGGGTCCTCCTGCCCTGGTGAGAAACAGCTGTCAAAAAAACTCAGAGAAAATAAAGAATGGGGAAATAAAGAAAAGATGATGGTGGTGGAAAATAGCCTAGACTGAAGAATTTACCTTTGTTCTTAATTCATCAAAAGCAGGCTCAGCAAAAATTTGGCAAAGAAGCTCCAATAACATGTTCTGGTGTGTACCCTGCAACCCACACTGGAAGTAGGTCTCAACGGAAGAACTGCGATGCACACTGTTCTCTGCTAAGTACACCAAGCTGCACCCTGTAAATATACAAAATTATTAAGATTCTTAATAGTACAGTAATATTCCAATTAGTAACAGCCTTAATTCATCTTTGCTTATTGCCTAACAATACGTTAGGAAACAATTTGTTAAGGCTGCTTAGTAACCTCTCCGAGTGGTTCATGCCAGACAATTGACTCCAAGCTGTTCTCTATGATCCTCATCACAAGACTAATCTGCAAACAACAAAATAATAGGCAGACTGTAAGGTAAAGTATTATAAGAGATAAGAATTTTTTTAATTGAAAGTAAATTCCCACATGTCAATATTTTAAAAAACAAAGCCATGAACTAGTGTCCTTAACAATGTAATAAGCAAGTTGACAAACATTATTAAAAAAAAGAGAAATAAGAATTTTTGAATATCTAAATAATGGTAAAATCCTCAAGGAATACTGAGAAGGATTAAAAAAAAGTAGACTATGCCTTAGTAACCTTAAAGATGCACAAAGACTGATAAAGGTCAGATAGGAAATAGGGAGGATGGACTGCATATTCCAAGAATCAGCAAGTTAGAAAACTTGAGAAGCAAACATTACCAAAAATATGGAGATTTAGATACCGAAACACCAGATGCAACATGTTATACCAGTAATATTAATACTATTAAAAAAAAGACCACTGTCCAGCCATAACTGACCTGGCAGTGGTCCAGGATGCCCTAAAATGTTGACACGAAGAATTCCAGCCGTGGAATTGTGATTTTTTTTATTCATCTTCACTTAATCCAAATAGCTACTGCACCCACTGTAACGTTCTGTGACTAAATAAATTTCTGTATTACCAACTCATTATGAATATAACCAGATCAAAACCCTGTAAGTAGTTCACTATCATTGTAGCTTGCTCAGGTACCATTACATGGGTGCCCAATCCCCAAACCCATTATGTGCCTGGAGTTTTACCTGGAGAAGGTTTCGGGGGTCAATGCCCCCGTGGCTCGGTCTGAGACCAGGCCTCATGGTGGATCAGGGTCTGATCAACCAGGCTGTTACTGCTGGCTGCATGCAAACTGATGTATGAACCACAGCCCGGTTGGTAAGGTACTGACTTTAGGTGCCTGTCCAGTACCTTCTTGAAGACAGCCAGGGGTCAATTGGTAATCCCCCTTGTGTATGCTGAGAGGCAGCTGAACAGCCTTGGGCCCTGGACACTTATTGTGTTGTCTCTTAACCCTTTGAGGGTCGACAGGCCCTCTCCGAGACTCGTTCTCAGGGTCGGCCAAATTTAAAAAAAAAAAAAAAAATTCTCTTATGAAAAGATAGAGAATCTTTTCCCGATCATAATGACACCAAAAGTTTGAAATTTGATGGAAAACTTACGGAATTATGCTCTCGCGAAGTTAGCGGTCTTGGCGATGTTTACGCATCGGCGATCTTGCCCACTTTGAGCCCCATTTTCGGCCAATTCCACTGTACTAATTGACAAAAAACATGAATATTTCGCTAGAACTCCATTTTTTCTATCGAATGAGTGCAAGAAACCACCCATTTATCAATTTCAACTATCCAGTACAGTGGTCAGAATTTAGCAATTTTGCCAATTTCACACAAATTTCAAAAAATGCCAATTTCCGAATAGGGTCCAGAATAAACAAGAAAGACATTCCTGGCACTAAAATGACATTTTCTCTGTTCATTAGTCACGTCTCAAGGCCCCTCTTACATTCTTTTGCTTTCCACTTTGAATTTTTATTCTCACAAAAAATAGAAGATTTACTGTTATGCAGACTACTGCATTAGTGTAAAAAATGGTATAAATAATATTGGCATACTTGCGAAAGAATATTAGACTCGCCAGTTGACGTGTATTGGACGTTTGGCATGATTTGTTTACTTTTGAACTTCGGTCAAAATTGAACATTTCTGCTACTTTGAGCTCAATTTCAAGGTACTTTTCATTGTAAAACCAGTCAAAATCATCTATTTCTGTAATATGTCTTCCATTCTATAAAATGAGACCAAGAAAACTAGAATACAACAAAAAATACCATACGAAAATACATTGCAAAGTCGCTGTTTTATTAAAAAAAAAACGGTCAAAGTTTTTTTTTCTCATTATGCACTGCGTGCTGCAGGATTTTTTTTATACTGTGCACACTGACCACATAGACCCATTCTTTCATATGTAGGCCTACCAGCTTTCTCCCACTAGATTTGAGGGCGCTAGAATTTAGGCATACTAGTACGTCAAAAGCCCTGGGTCGTAAGCCGTACTAGTACGGCCGAAACCCTCAAAGGGTTAAAGTGCTCCTGGCACCCCTGCTTTTAATAGGGGGAATGTTGCATCTCCTGCCAAGTCTTTTGCTTTCATAGGGAGTGATTTTTGAGTGCAGGCTTGGTACCAATCCCTCCAGGATCTTCCAAGTGTATATTATAATGAATCTCAGCTGCATTCCAGAGAATACAGATCAAGGACCTTCAACCGTTCCCAGTAATTTTGGTGCCTTATTGTATTTGTGTGCTGTGAAAGTTCTTTGTACGCTCTCCAGGTCTGCAATGTCGCCAGATTGAAGGGGACCGTTAGTGTACAGCAGTATTCCAGCCTAGAGAGAACAAGCGATTTGAAGAATGTCATCATGGGACTGGCGTCCCTAGATTTGAAGGTTCTCATTATCCATCCTTGTTCTAGCTGATGAGGTAGATGGTCTCTGAAGGCAAGATCCTCTGACATTATCACTCCCAGGTCCTTCATATTTCTTTTTCACTCTATTGTATGGTACACTTTTAATTTCCTCAAGTTTTCCATATATGAGTAGTTGAAATTTCTCCTTGTTGAACTTCATATTGTTTTGAGTGACCCATCTGAAGATTTGGTTGCTGTCCACTAGGAGTCTTGCAGTGTCTTTGATGGAGGTCACTGCCATGGCAATTCGGATGTCATCCGCAAAGGAAGACATGGAGCTATGGCTGACATCTTGTTTATCCTCAACAACATCTAGGACCTTGTCATAGTGGTCCAGGAGCTGGGACAGGCAGGAGTGACCTGCTCTAAACCCATGTTGCCCAGGGTTGTGTAATTGATGGATATCTAGGTGGTTGGCATCTTGCTTCTTAGAACCCTCTCAAAGATTATGATATGGGATGTTAGAGCTATTGGTCTGTAGTTCTTTGCAATTGCTTTACTGCCACCTTTGTGGAGTGGGGCTATATCTGTTGTTTTTAGTGTGTGTGGGATGACCCGTGTCCATGCTCCCTCTCCATAGAATGCTGAAGGCACGCGATAGGGGCTTCTTGCAATTCTTGATGAACACGGAGTTCCATGAGTCTGGGCCTGGGGCAGAGTGCATTGGCATGTCATTTATTGCCTTTTCAAAGTCTTGTGGAGTTAGGATAATATCCGAGATTTTTGTGATGACCAGATTTTGGGTTTCGTTCATAAAGAATTCATTTGGATTATTGACTCTTAGTCTGGGCAGCGGCTCTCTGAACACTGAGTCACATTGGGACTTTAATATCTCACTCATTTCTTGGCTGTCATCTGTGTATGTCCCATCCCACCTAAGCAGGGGCCCAATACTGGATGTTTTTAACCTAGATTTTGCATAAGAGAAGAAGTATTTTGGGTTTTTATCAATTTCCTTTATGGCTTTTAGTTAGGCCTCATTTAGATTATGTGTGCAGTTTTGGTCACAGTATTACAGAATGGATATATGTAAATGTACTGGAAAAAGTACAAAGTAGGATGACAAAGTTGATCCCATATATCAGATATCTTCCCTATGAGGATAGACTGAGGGGCCCTGAATCTGCACTCTCTAGAAAGGCAAAGAATTAGGGGGAAATGATTGAGGTGTATAAATGGAAAACAGGAATTAATAAAGGGGATGTAAATAGCATGCTAAAAATATCTAACATAGACAGGACTTGCAGCAATGGTTTTAAATTGGAAAAAATCAGATTCAGGAAGGATATAGGAAAGCACTGGTTTCGTAATAGAGTTGTGGATGAGTGGAACAAACTCCCGAGTACCGTCATAGAAGCTAAGACATTGTGTAGTTTTAAAAGTAGGTTGGATAAATATGTGAGTGGGTGTGAGTTGGACCTGACTAGCTTGTGCTACTAGGTCGGATGCCGTACTCCTCCCTTCAGTGATGTGTCTGACCTCACTAGGTCAAGGCACTGGCTTAAGCCAGTGTGAGAACTGGGCCTGCATAGCATAGGCCAGTAGGCCTGTTGCAGTGTTCCTTCTTTCTTGTGTTCTTAAGATTCCCACAGCTTAAGTTTGATATTTGCAATTTTATTGACCAGTGCCTCCCTATGTAATCTTTTGAGTACCACCCCCAGGATAGTTTTTATTTTTTTTTTTAACACATCGGCCATGTCCCATCGAGGCAGGGTACCCCCCCCCCCCAAAAAAAAAAAAAAAAAAAAACTTTCATCATCACTCACTCCATCACTGTCTTGCCAGAGGCATACCAATACTACAATTAAAAAAACAGCAACATATCTCCACCCCTCCTTCAGAGAGCAGGCACTGTACCTCCAACCTTCAGGACCGAAGTCTTGCTAACCGGGTTCCCCCGGATCCCTTCATAAAAGTATGGAGTGCATAGTAAATCTCTTGAACATCCACCACACCCAACTCTCATACTTGCCATCCCTTAGTTGATATTCCCGTTGTCTTGTGAGTTGCGAGGGCAGAAGTGGTCGTGTACCACATGAGGTTGTGAGCTTCTCTTGAATCATCGCAGCAAGAGTGACAGCAGATTCCTGCAGCATGTTCCCATGAATCAGCATCTCAATGTGAAGCCCAGACAAAAACCGAGGAATGAACGCTTCCAGGTTCTCCACTGTCATCTCTGTTGGGTAAGATAAATAATATCTTAAACATTTCTTTTCAACACATCGGCCATCTCCCACCGAGGCAGGGTGACCCAAAAAAGAAACTTTCACCAGTATTCAGCACTTTCACCATCATTCACACAAACACTGTCCTTGCAGAAGCATCCAGATACGGCAGTTTAGATGTCACTCCAAACAGCCAATATCCCGAACCCCTTCTTTAAACATGTACTTATAATTAAAACATACACAGAATGAGCAACAAAACTGCTAATCTATATCTCAGGACAATTTCATAAATAAAATATGCCTCAATAAGAAAGTACAAACAATACTGAATATTCCTAGAGGCTTTTTAAAATTTTGATCATTCTTTAATAAAAATAACCTTATCCAGCCAAACTGTAGATTAATTTTATTACTAATAAAGAGACTCAAGAAAACTGAAGAATTTTTAAGTTCACTACTTGGAACACATCATGAACATCTATAAATAAAGATTCTTTGTTTTTTGTGAGAATTTTTATCACAACTTGTCAGCTGTTCCAACAATTTCATGAGTTTTATTACTGCATAACTATTTTGATCATGGTACAGCACTGAACCTAATAAAGGTCACAACAGCACCTGGCGAGTGGGAGAATTCATGGAGTAATTAGGCTTGATCCCGAAAGAGAGAGAGAAGGGAGCAGCTCCAATTCCTTGGATCAAGAGTGCATCAGAAGCATCAAAACCTCCTTATTCAAAAGCAGAATAATTATAAACATACTAGAGATGTAACAGTAACTAATTTATTTGTGATTCTGTTATGTTTTAGACTGCTGTCTTGTGTTGCATTCACGAATAGATTTCTTCTTCTATCTTGGTCTTCCCATCAAAGTAATGGGGGGGAGGGGGCTGAGATGGGGGCCCTATGCTACTGAAGGACTCTTGATCCAAGGAAGTGAAGCTACCATTCCCACACCCTGGATCAAATCTGATTACCTCACATTCACTAGGCTCTGGTGAATGTGAAGGGGACTGCACCTACCACCTACATAGGAGTGAGATTTATCACTTAATGGAGATTCATTTTTTTAACCTCTGTACCTTACATTTTCAAAATTCTAAATCTGTGCTGTTCTTCAATATCTATGGTACCCAAAATTCTTTTTACATCTTAAATCTTTACAAATGCATTACTTACAATTTCTACTATGGTAAGCCTGACTTTTCACACCTATTTTGAATATCTCAATTGTCACAATATAGGCTACGAGCAGCTAATGTGACATTTTATTGTGGCAACATTTTGCTCTCCAGGAGTTTTGTCAAGCTGTTACCATTTACAAAACTCCAGGAGAGCAAAACATTGCCACAATAAAATGTCACATTAGTAGCATTTGTGTTTTTTACCTAACATATTGTCAGTAATTCTACCAACATTATTACACACCAAAGTAAGAGATTGAATCGCTAATAAAACATTAAGTAAATCAATATAAAAATACTGATATTAGCTTTACCATAGCCCATACAGCCTCTCCTCACTTAGCAATGTACTTGTTTACCGACGACTCAGACTTATGACGGGCTCTCTGACCAGTATGCATACTTAAATAACGTATATTAAAGCTGATTTCCTCTATTCTGTTTATTACAATATACAGTACACTACTACATAAACATTTAAAAATATACTAAAAATGTTATAAATGGTGCAAGGGTGACATTAAAGCAATATTAAAGATGGTTGACATAAACCCATTATCATTATAGCTCCTCGTTTAGCGATGAATTTGTTTATCAATGCAGTATTAGTAATGGAACTCCATCATTAAGTGAGGAGAAGCTGTATTAAGAAAAGTGCTGCTGTTTACAAATATGATGTAAATGGTTTAGAAAGCTGATAAGTTGAATAATGCAACACTTGTGCAACGTAACAAACATTCCAAAATGTTGCACAAGTGTCTCATTGTTCACAAATAATCCACCCTTGAAACATTATGATGATATTTTGGTCCATCTTGAACCAATGTCAAGTTGCAACTCTTGTGACATGACAGTTGTCCAGGATGGACAAAAGCATATCATAAGCTCCTCTTTTACGTATTAGTTACCTGTGAACTGCTCCAGCTATGGTGTTGTGACTATTTTAACGAGTGCTAAAGTGTTATACTGTGTTAGCACGCTTAACTTATCTATCTAGAGAAATAGGTGACTTCTCTGCAGGTGATGTTAAGACTAATCACTTCTGAGTTTTAATGAATTAAAGCACCTGTAGCTGTAATTAAATACCAATGCAATAACTCTCACCATTAGCTGCCTCCAGCAACTCCTCCTTGGCCCAGCCATGTTCTGACAGCAAGAGTGAAGTATAATACACAACATGCTGATGAGGCTGATCTGCATTAAAGTTACGCAGTGCACGAACATACTGGTGGCAAGAAAAAATGACTAAGTTTTACCTTTCACCCACAAAGAAATTTTTATATTTTTATAAATCTTGTTAAAAAGTACAAAAAATTACTATTTTTAAACTTATCAACTCTGAAATTTGCTGCAATTTATTTTTTAACACACTGGCCATCTCCCACCGAGGCAAGGTGACCGGACAAAGAAATACTAACCATCATTCATACTATCACTGCCTTGTCAGTCATACAACTACAACAGTTTAGAAGCCCCTTTAAATAGCAAATATCCCAATCTCCTCCTTTATTATAGGCACTAAACTTTCCACCTCCAGGACTCAAGTCCAGCTAACTGGTTTCCCTGAGTCCCTTCACGAAATATTACAGTTAACATATTTTTATAAACCTTAGACACTGCAGCCTAAAGAAGAGAAAACACATTCCCCCATATTTTTGTATCAATTCAATTTCACACAGATGTACTATATTACAAATAAAACCAATTTCCTAGCCATTTTTGTCTGGCCAACAAAAATTTCTACAATAAAAAATGTACATAGTTCATGAGGTTATTATTCCATTGGGAGACTCCAATATTGTTTTCCTTTTCCTGGCCAAATTATTATAGCACTACACTATCATCCATCACTGGACGTGCGGCACTGCGTGGTAGAAAAGAATTAGTCACAAATTCAAATGCAGGCATGGAAGAGTGTAGAGTAATGAACCTCAAATATGAATAAATAGTTTAAAAAACCAACAAGTTGATAAATGAGACACTTGTGAAACATTTGGGAATCTTTATTCTGGAACTGTTTTGTCAGCCAGTGACTTCTTCAGTCCTATGCAGAGAAATAGTGGAAGATGAGTTTGAGGAAATCAGTTGTGGGCCCCATAACAAATATCTTCACATACCCACACACATTAAGGAGTGAATTTATCCAATAACCTGGATTTTGACTATGGTGGCATTTATTATCATCCACCACGCAATGCCTCATAGCCTCTCAAGGCCAAACCCTATAATATTTTTTTACCATAATTTATTTCTATAACTATATTTGCAAATGATGTCACCAGATGTAATTAAAAACTATTTAAACAATAAAGGCTATAATTTTATTTTAAAAAGTTACCAAATATTTATGCTAACTATATACAGTGGACCCTCGCCTAACACTATTAATCTGTTCCTGAGAGCTCAACGTTAGGCGAAATTATCGTTAGGCGAATTAATTTTCCCCATAAGAAATACAGGTCTCCCTCAACATTCATGTTTTCAGCTTTTGCGGGCTTCACACATTCGCGAATTCCCAACCGCCAAATTCCCAGCCACCAAATTCCCAGCCACCAAATCATATTCAAGTTTCCCGCCACCTGCAAGTCCCTACTACCCTCCCTCCGACCCCCGCAACTGGCAGCCAGCCCTCCCACCACTCAGTGTGGTGAGTATTTTGTTTGTTCATTATTTGCTATTAAACTACATTATAAATAATGTAAACACATTCATGACTGCATATTGGAATGGCTATTTGGACAGGTATTGGACGGTGACATCATGTGTTTACTCTTGAACACAGCAAAGAATCAAACATTTCTGCTACTGATAATAATAATAATAATAATAATAATAATAATAATAATAATAATAATAATAATAATAATAATAATAATACGATATAACTGAAGAAGGAAATTGTACAAAAATACGAGGGAGTGGTTGACACATCGTCAGTGTGGCTTTGTTTATGCTGGAGTGAACATTAGTCTCCCTGCTCTTCCAAACATTTCACAATAATTCATTGTTTGGTGCTTGTAGATTGAGTGTGACTGGAGTGGTTGAGGCAGTGGTAGAGGTGATAGAGGCAGTGGTAGAGGCAGTGGTAGAGGCAGTGATAGAGGCAGTGGTAGAGGCAGCGATAGAGGCAGTGATATTTACTAACATATATGTTATAAATAATAATAGTACATTATGAATAACATTTATTATTATTATTATAAATGTTATAAATAATAATAGTACATGTTAATATTAATAACATACGTATATGTTAGTAAATACCACTGCCTCTACCACTGCCTCACCCACTGCCTCTATCACTGCCTCTATCACTGCCTCTACCACTGCCTCAACCGCTGAATTATTGTGAAATGTTTGGAAGAGCAGGGAGACTAATGTTCACTCCAGCATAAACAAAGCCACACTGACGAAGTGTCAACCACTCCCTCGTATTTTTGTACAATTTCCTTCTTCAATTATATCGTATTATTATTATTATTATTATTATTATTATTATTATTATTATTATTATTATTATTATTACTATTGTTATTATTAGCAGTAGCAGAAATGTTTGATTCTTTGCTGTGTTCAAGAGTAAACACATGATGTCACCGTCCAATACCTGTTCACATAGCCATTCCAATATGCAGTCATGAATGTGTTTCCATTATTTATATTGTAGTTTAATAGCAAATAATGAACAAACAAAACACTCACCACACTGAGTGGTGGGAGGGCTGGCTGCCAGTTGCGGGGGTCGGAGGGAGGGTAGTAGGGACTCGCATTGGTTGAGGAAGTGGTGGAGGCAGTGGTGGAGCCTGTGGTATTTAATAACATACATGTTATTAAAGCATAACATGTATATATTTAGTACAACTTACGACGTTTTCATGTATTTTATGATTGTTCATGGTTCAACAAGTTAAGCAGTATTGTATTATATTTCCCTACAATATATTGGGGCACCAAACATTCACGGTTTTTCAACATTTGCGAGGCTCTTGATCCCCTAACCTTCGCGAATGTTAAGGGACACCTGTAATGGAAATCAAATTAATCCGTTCCTGACACCCCAAAGTATGAACAAAAAAAAATTTTTACCACATGAAATATTCACAGTTCCATGACACTTACCTTTACTGAAGATCTGGTGATGATTGATGGGATGGGAGGAGGGGAGACTGTGGATGGTGTTAATGTTTAGAAGGGGAATCCCCTTCCATTAGGACTTGAGGTGGCAAGTCCTTTTCTGGGGTTACTTCCCTTCTTCTTTTAATGCCACTAGGACCAGCTTGAGAGTCACTGGACCTCTGTCGCATAACATATCTGTCCATAGAGGCCTGTACCTCCCGTTCCTTTATGATATTCCTAAAGTGTTTCACAACATTGTCAGTGTAATAGTCACCAGCACGGCTTGCAATAGCTGTGTGAGGGTGATTTTCATCAAAAAAGGTTTGCACTTTAAGCCACATTGCACACATTTCCTTAATCTTTGAAGTAGGCAACTTCTTCAATTTCTCTATCCCTTCCTCCGAAGCAGTTTCCTCAGGTGTGGCCTCTTGCTGTTAAAGATGATCTAGCAGCTCATCAGTGGTTAGTTCTTCATTGTCCTCCTCCACCAACTCTTCCACATCCTCCCCACTAACCTCCAACCCCAAGGACTTCCCCAATGCCACAATGGATTCCTCAACTGGCATAGGATTCCCAGGGTTAGCCTCAAACCCTTCAAAATCCCTATTGTCTACACATTCTGGCCACAGTTTCTTGCAAGCAGAGTTCAAGGTCCTCTTAGTCACTTCCTCCCAAGCCTTACCTATAATGTTTACACAATTGAGGATGCTAAACTGATCTCTCTAAAACTCTCTTAGAGTCAATTGAGTTTCTGAGGTCACTACAAAGCACCTTTCAAACATAGCTTTTGTGTACAGTTTCTTGAAGTTGGAAATGACCTGCTGGTCCATGGGCTGCAGGAGAGGAGTGGTATTAGGAGGCAAAAACTTGACCTTAATGAAGCTCATTTCTGCAGAAAGTCACTCTGCCACGTCTGAAGGATGACCAGGAGCATTGTCTAATACCAGGAGGCACTTAAGGTCTAATTTCTTTTCAATTAGGTAATTTTTCAGTGGGACAAATGCATGGTGTAACCAGTCATAGAAAAAGTTCCTAGTGACCCATGCCTTACTGTTTGCCCTCCACAGCACACACAAATTAGCCTTGAGGACATTGTTTTTCCTGAACACTCTGGGAGTTTCAGAGTGATACACCAATAAAGGCTTCACTTTGCAATCACCACTAGCATTGGCACACATCAACAGAGTAAGCCTGTCTTTCATAGGCTTATGTCCTGGGAGTGCCTTTTCCTCCTGAGTAATGTAGGTCCTGCTTGGCATTTTCTTCCAAAACAGGCCTGTTTCGTCACAATTAAACACTTGTTCAGGTTTCAGTCCTTCACTGTCTATGTACTCCTTGAATTCCTGCACATATTTTTCAGCCGCTTTGTGGTCCAAACTGGCAGCCTCACTATGCCTTATCACACTATGTATGCCACTACGATTCTTAAATCTCTCAAACCAACCTTTGTTGGCCTTAAATTCACTCACATCACCACTAGTTGCAGGCATTTTTCTAATTAAATCGTCATGCAACTTCTTAGCCTTTTCACATATGATTGCTTGAGAGATGCTATCTCCTGCTATCTGTTTTTCTTTTATCCACACCAATAACAGTCTCTCAACATCTTCTATCACTTGCGATCTCTGTTTCAAAAACAAAGTTGCACCTTTGGCAAGAACAGCTTCTTTGATTGCAGTTTTCTTGGCCACAATAGTAGCGATGGTTGACTGGGGTTTTGTGTACAATCTGGCCAGCTCGGAGACATGCACTCCACTTTCATACTTAGCAATGCTCTCTTTCTTCATATCCATAGTAATTTTCACCCTTTTTCCTGTAGGGTTGGCACTAGAAGCTTTCTTGGGGCCCATGGTGACTTATTTTGCAGCTGTAATCACTAAAAAGGCTGTGATAATATGAAATGTTCCAATTGTATGCTTGGAAGCGACCGCAGTGGCTGGCTTGTAAACACTGGCACCCACGGAACAAGTGAGGCGGGCTCAGGCCGCACATGGACGCATCTCGAACAAATCGCGTTGAGCGAGTTTTTTAGTGCTAGCCGTGGCAAAATTTTTGCGTTAAAAATGTATCACTAGGCGGATTTAACATTATGCGATGCGTTCGTTAGGCGAGGGTCCACTGTAATACATATCTAACCCTTCCCATTGTATTTTCATTATAATTTCCTTTATGTATTAAAATAACATTTAAGTACATAAAGTATGTTAAACTTTAAAGCCTATCGAATGCATGGCTAAAATAATAATTAAAATATGCTCAGTGTACATACTATTACTGTATCTTCAATAAGTGCAACATTTTTACCCTGGCAGAGTTGTACATGGTATATCACCAGGGCTGTGGAGTCGGCACATAAAACCTTTGCCCCTGACTCTGTTATTTATGGCACCTCCAACTCCTTAAATTACAATTTACTGACTACACATTCTTCTACATAACTAATCTAATAGATAGATGGCCCAAAGTATTAAAATGATAGTGACTTACGGCATCTTTAAGAATCTCAAAGCGCTTGGGGTCAACAGTGAAGGAAGTCATACGTTCCATAATCTTCTCCAAAAGAACATGTTGTTTATCATTGTAGCCTTTCACCGTTAGCTGAAATATAAAATACATCTTTAGGTAAGACAACATAAATTCAATTTATCAATCATTACAAAAAATGGCATATAATACTGACAAGATGAGGAAGGAGAAACATATGCAACACATGGCAATCTTTATTTCAGATAGATACCCAGGTGTTACATGTGTCTTATGCCTCAATTTAAAAAAGCATCAACAGGACTTGGTAGTCTATGGAAACTCTCTCTTAGGGTAAGTTAAGGGGTGTCCATTTGTTTCCTAAGTGAAACTGCAAAGTAGGAAAATCATTAGGAAAGAAGCATACTAAAATAAAAATGAACAAATAAGAGAAAACAGACACAAGGAAAATGGTTGTCTTTGGAATGACAGTGTATAGTAGATGCTGAAAAAAATGTAACATACAGTCAGCTGGTCCAGTAAGATAAGTATAGGAATATGACATAAATGGTTTAGAAAACTGACAAGTTGAAGAATGAGGCACTTGTGTAACATTTGAGAATCTTAGTTACGTAAACATTTTGCCAGCCAGTGGCTTCTTCAGTACATTACAGAGAAGAATGGTGGAAGATGAAAGGAGTTCGAGATAATTAGTCCCTCGGCATGAAGTCATGTGTTCAGTCCATCAATATTTTTCTCAAGATTAATGGACTGAACACACTGAATCTGTAATGAACTGAAGAAACCACTGGCTGGTGAAACATTTCCATAATAAGATTCCCAAATGTTGCACAAGTGTCTCTTCTTCAACTTGTCAGTTTTCTAAACCATTTATATCGTATTCCCATACTTACTTTACTGGACCAGCTGACTGTATGCTACATTTTTTCAGCATTCCACTGTCATTCCAGAGATAATCATTTTGCTTGTGACCATTCTCTCTCATTTGTTCTTTTCTATTTTACTACGCTTCTTTCATCCTGAGTTTCCTGCCTTACAGTCTTAGGTAATCCTCAATTTTCCCTATCATTCCCCAAAAATATTTTTAAGCCCTGCCCATGAACTTCCTATGACCAATTTTTGAGGAGTCATATAACATATAACTAGCACTTAAGAGAGGAACCTTATAATAATGCTGTCATCTGTTTTGAACCATTTGTCAAGTTGCAACAGTTATCACTTGACAGTGGTCCAAGATGGACTGAAACATCAAAAGCTTCATTTTTTACAGATGAGATTGAGATATTTGTGAATTGTATTTTGTCTTTTATTCTTCAACTTACGTTAAGCCCATACTTGGTATTGGAGAGAGAATATGAGAGTCCAGCCAGTTCAGCAGCGTAAGTGTACTCAGTGAGGGCATCACGAAACAGCTGTGCAAACATGTGCAGCAGGTTGGTGTGGTGGGGATCTAGGTAGGCCAGTGGACTGAAAATATAAAGCAAAACCATTAGAAATGGCACACGTGCAATTGTGACACATCACTCACATTTAGCTAATATGCAACATTTGCGTATCTTTATAGTGGTGGTGTTTTGGCCAACCAGTGGTTGGATTAATCCAATGCAGAGAATAATACTAAAGATGGCAGAAGATATGAATCAGCAGTCTGAGGTGATCAGTCTCTGAGCCCTGATGCGTCTGTTAGAGATGGTAGAAGACAAAGTAGTTTGAGATGATCAGTCCCTCAGCCTTGAAAGGAGACTAATCTCAGTCTATCATTATTGATGAAATTCATCAATAATGATGGACTGAACACCTCCTTTCAAGACTGAGAGACTGATCACCTCAAACTAATACTTCCTGTCTTCCACCATTCTAGTATCATGCTTCCTATTGGACTGCTATAGCCACAAATTACGAAACATATTCACAATAAAGATACCCAAGTTCATCTACATGTTGGTTTAGTATACCATTTATAAATAATACATTTGAGAAAAACATACTAAAAAATGTTAAAAATAATAATAAATCAACAAGTAAGATCTGAGCATTATAATTTGCATATACATAATAAATCTGTTGAAAATTATATTTCTCTGAAGAATACAATGATATAAACACCTTCTATAATGAATAAATCTGAAACAAATTTATCTGCAGTCTGAATCCTATATAATACCATCTCATCATGATTAAAAGAAGTATTTCTTTTTTTCAATATGCTGGCCATCTCTCACCAAGGCTCAATGCTGAGAATAGACCATACACCACAAAGGTTGTAATAACTTAAGTTAAATTTGCCAACAATTTATTACAGCACGAAAAGTGGCACAGCATAAGAATCTCGGCCGGAGGGACCTGGGATTGATTCCCAGGCAGGATGAGATGTATGGGTAAGTCTCTCTACACCTGTCCATGTTTAGGTTATTTGCTGGATATCACATATTTTTAACATACCAGTCATCTCCCAACGAGATAGGGCGACCCATGAGAAGAAACACGTTTTCCAATTGACTGAATGATGGCAAATATGTTTCCCTTCTTAGGGATCACCCTACCTCGGTGGGAAATGGCCAGTGAGTTACAAAAAAATCTCTTTTTTTTTTTTTTTTTTTTTTTTTTTAATATTTTGAGAAATGTCCATTACTCAGAAAAGACGATTATCAGTATTCTACAGTATGTCAATATATGCTTGTAAAAGCTCAACATAAACCGTAATGAATGACTGTCAAAGAATAAACAGAACTGACAGGGACTTAAATTGTGATCCTGGAATGAAGAAGTCTCTATCGAGTTTATTCCTGTGGTACAGTATTGGGCCTACAACATGCCCAGACTAAAGTTCGAATCCCTGTTCATTCTTTTGCTTTCATGTGGTACAGCATTAGGACTGCAACATACTTTAAATATGGTTCAAGTCTCTGTCCAGTCTTTAATATATTCCCATGCTTGTATAGTAATAGTATTCTTGAACAAGCTCACCTAAAAAGTTCAGTGTGGATCACAGCCTTCGGAAGTTTAAATTCATCATCTTGCTTGTACCAAATTCTGGCCAGGGAAGTCTCACTTATCATCTCAGGTAAACGACTAACTGGCTGCATAAAAAAAAAAAAATAAAACTAAAATTCTTATGAAACAACTTAAATAAGTAAAAATATGTAAAAATGTGGGGTGTAGGGAAAGAGGGCTAGCAGTTGTTCAAGGAAAGGCAGGAGGGAGGAAGTTAAGGAGTTTTTAAATGCTAGGGTTTTTGGGCATCCAATAGGCTTTTGTGAATGCCTTTCATAGAAGCTAGTGAAGCCAAGTATTATTCACAATGATGTACAGTTGAAGTGCGAGCAGGGTAACATTTACAAAAATATACAGGGAAATCAGTTATGTGGGCTCGAGTCCTAGAGGTGAGAAGTATTGGGGCTGCATTCTGAAAGAAAGGATGTGGATATTACAGTAAGGAGGGGCCATCTCAACCCTTTCAGGGTTCAGACCCCTGCTCTGAGAATTGCTCTCATGGTCCACAAATTAAACAAACAAAAAAAAATTATTAAATGATAGAGAATCTTTTTCCAAAAGTAATGATTCCAAAAGTATGAAACTTGATGGAAAACTTAGGGAATTATGTCCACACACAGTTAGTGGTCTTGGCAATATTTATTCATCGGTGATTTCACCCACTTTGTGTACTATTTTCGAACAATTATGTTTTTCCAGTCAACAAAACTCATAGCTATTTTGCTAGTGCTGTATTTCTTCTATTCTAATGATTGAGTACAAGAAACTACCCATTCACCTATTTCAACTACCCAATAAAGTGATCAGAAATTGGTAATTTGGCCAATTTCACACAAAATTAAAAAAATTGCCAAATTAAAAATAGGATCCAGAATAAACAATGTAGACAGTCATGGCACTTAAAAAAACACTTCCTCTGTTCATTAGTTACGTCAACAGACCTCTCCTATATTGCGTTTGCTTTCCATTTTGAATTTATATTCACACAAAAAAATAGAAGATTTACTGCTATGCAGACTACTGCATTATTGATGCAGTAGTCTGGATGGATATGTGGTGCAGCAGGCCTCCAGCAGCAACAGCCTGGTTGACCAGGCAAGCACCAGATGAGCCTGGCTCATTGCCAGGCTCCTAGAGTAGTGAAACTCTTAAAACTCTTCAAAGGTATAAAAATGTCAGCGCATTTGTAAACACACATGAAACTGACCACTTGCACACGTATTGGATGAGTGACGTAATCTGTGTGCTATGGAATATCGGCAAAAAATCAAATATTTCTGTTACTTTGAGCTCAGTTTCAAGCTACTTTCAGTCCTGAAACCAATTAAAATCATTGTTATTTCTGTAATATATCTTCCATTCTATCAAATGAGACCAAGAAACAGAGAATACATCTATAAAAACAATATGAAAATACACTGAAAAGTCACTGTTATACACTAAAAACATGGTTTCAGTTTTTTTCTCACTAGGCACTGCCTGCTGCAGGACTTTTTTATGTGGTGCACACTTACTGCATACTCAATCCTCATATCTAGGCCCAAATTTACCGCTCACAGCTTACCTGAGAAAGCTGAGCTCATCACGGAGAACAACAGGACTGACCTGGGCTTCAAAGCCATAGAACTACGGGACCGATCTGGACTTCAAAGCTGTGGAACAACAGGACTTGCCTCAAAAAGGTTAAGGCAATTTTAAACTTGTGTATATATTACAGAACAGTAGCCCTAACTTCTCACATCATAAAAATCTCTGAAAGAGTGATGAGACAGCAGAGTACAAATTTCATGGACTAGCACAAGCAGCATAACCTGAAGCAGCATGGTTTTAGAGCAGCATGATCATGTCCGTCACAGCTGCTGAACCATTATGACAATTTCGGAGGCGTTGGAAGACGACCAAAACGCAAATGTAATTTACACATATTTGGCAAAGGTGCTTGACAAATGCGATCATGGAGTGATAGTGCACAAAATGAGAGCCATGGGCATTATAGGGAAGGTAGGCAGATGGATTTTCGAGATCCTAAAACACAGAACACAAAAAGCAGTAGTAAACAGTGAGATAAAAAGCTCAGTGCTCCAAGGCACTGTCCTGGCACCTCTGCTGATTCTCATCCTCATAGCAGACATAGATAAAAACACCCATCACACTACTGTATCATCATTTGCAGATGACACTAAAATAAGCATGAAAATCACTATGGGAGAGGACACTGAAAAATTACAGGAAGACATAAGCAGGGTTTTCCAATGGGCAGTGGAGAACAACATGACATTCAATGGTGATAAGTTCCAGCTGCTTAGGTATGGAAAGAATGAAGAACTCAGAAGGAACACTATATACAAAACTCAAGAGGGTCACTAAATAGATCGAAAGGAACACGCAAAAGACCTGGGAATAATTACATCAGCTGACCTTTCTTTTAAAGACCATAACAAGACCAAGATCATGACAGCCTGGAAGATGATGGGGTGGGTATTGAGAACATTCAAAACAAGGGAAATAATGCCGATGGTGACACTCTTCAAATCACTAGTGCTCCCTCATTTAGAATATTGCTCAGTGATGATGGCCCTGTTCAAAGCAAGAGAAATATCAGAGCTGGAACAAATATTAAGATTATTTATGGCTCACACTGAACCAGTAAAGCACCTAAATTACTGGGAATGTCTTCAAGTCTTGAACATGTACTCACTGAAGCAGAGAGAGAGAGAGAGAGATACATGATAATATATACCTGGAAAGTACTTGAGGGCCTGGTACCAAATCTGCACACTGCCATAACAACATACTTGAGTGAGAGATATGGGAGGAAGTGCAAAATAAACCCAGTAAGCAGTAGAGGTGCAGTGGAGACAATAAGGGAACACTGTTTCAATATCTGGGATCCCAGACTATTCAACATCTTACCAGAAGATATCTGAAACATGGCTGGAACAAGTGTAGAAGCCTTCAAGAGGAAATTGGACAAGTATCTTCACCAGGTGCCAGATCAACCAGGCTGTGATGGATATGTGGTGCAGCAGGCCTCCAGCAGCAACAGCCTGGTTGACCAGGCAAGCACCAGATGAGCCTGGTTCATGGCCATGCTCCTAGAGTAGTGAAACTCTTAAAACTCTTCAAAGGTATAAAGGTAGAAAGGTAAAGGTTCAAAGGTACAAAGGTATATAGTGCACAAGATATGCCTCTCAGATGAAAGCATATAGACAGTCTTCATGCAATGCAAACTTCACAAACAGCAAGAATTTACTGTTTTTTTTAACATACTGGTTGTCTCTCACCAAGATAAGCTATCCTCCCAAAAAAAGAGGAAACACATTCACCATCCCTCACTCAATTACTGTCTTGCCAGAAGTGTACTGACATCACAGTTAAACATGGCCTCTCCTCAGGGTGCAGGAACTATACTTCCCACCTCCAGGCTTTACTGCATTTGCCAGAAAATCTGTAGTTCAATTAACACAGCAAAATATTCACCTGCACATCTTTAAACAGGTCAAAACTTGTAGGCACAAATTCATTCTTTGTTGGTAAATGCAACTGATCGTTCAGTCCAGCAGACTGCCACTGTTCCAGGAGGCCCGGGTCAATTTCTTCCATCTTGTAGCAAGTCCCATACCACTTTTCAGTGCATGTTACCTTCTCTGACAATGCTTTTCCCACAACAGCAATCCTGAAAAAAATATATCTATACATGTAAATCATATTTTGATAAGAAGAGCACATGAACAAAGGCATGATGGATTCATAGCAGTCATAATAACACAACTACAGGAGGGCCCAGATTTACAGCGCTTCATTTTACAGTATTTCATTTATACCCATTCATCATTTATTCAGACTTCCTACAATAAATATACTCACCACTCACTAATAAGCTAAGGACAAAAATATTTTAAGATAAGTAATGTGTCGTAAGAGGCAACTAAAATGCTGGGAGCAAGGGGCTAGTAACCCCTTCTCCTGTATACATTACTGAATTTAAAAAGCAAAACTTTAATTTTTCCTTTTGGGTCACCCTGTCTCGGTGGGATACAGTCGGCTTGTTGAAAGAAGTAATGTGTGTATTGCATATGCATTTTTTTAGGCCTAGCTTTATTGCTCACTTAATATATGACAGAGTAAACATGTTATCAAGGTTTTATATGCATTTGAAAGTGAAAAAAAAGGCTATGATTCACTTTACAGCGATTTTTGCCTCACAGCAATAGCCCGGAACCTAATCTGCTGTATAAGCAGGGCCCTCCTGCATAAACAACTTGGGGAAACGGGCAAGGCTCAAACCCATGACAAGACACTGCTAAAACTTTCAAGCCTGTTGACTCACAACTAGTGTGTGCAAACTTCATAGAATTCCTACAGCTAGATATATTTCAGAGTAAAAGAACAATGATTCAGCTGAAGAATTATAATTTTGACAAGTAGGAAAGATTTGAGTCCTATTTTAGGCCAATTACACTGTCCCAGTTGAAAAAATTCTTAGCTATTTCACTAGTATGGCTTCCATTTTATCGAGTGAACATAAGAAACTATTTCAACTACCCACTAAAGTGATCAGAAATTGGTAATTTGGCCAATTCCACACAAATTTCAGAATATGCCAATTTGAAAATAGGGTCCAGAATAAACAATGCACACAATCTTGGCATTAAAATAACATTTCCTCTGTTCATTAGTTATGTTCCCAGGCTTTACACATGAATTTCATTTTGAATTTTTATTCACACAAAAAATAGTAGATTTACTGTTATGCATTATTGTAATAATTGTATAAATAATGTCAGTGCATTTATCATTGCATATTAGACTGACCAGTTGGACACATATTGGATGAGTGACATGATTTTACTCTGGAATATTGGAAAAAAATTGAATATATTTGCTACTTTGAGCTCAACTTCAAGCTACTTCCAGTCCTGCAACCTATGAAAATCATCTCTATTTCTATAATATATCTTCCATTTTATCAAATGATACCAAAAAGCTGAGAATACAATTACAAAAATCATCCAAAAATATACTGCAAAGTCACTATTTTAAACCAAAACCACGGTCGGTTGGGGCAGGATTTCTTTTATATGGTGCACACTTACCGCAGTGATCCATTCTCTCATATCTAAACCTAAATTTACTGCTCACAGTATATCTGGGCTGAGCTCATCACTTAGTTCTATGGCAAGGACAAAGGCTTCAAACCCATAGTACTACAGCACAGACGGCAAAGTAGCTAAGGCACCGTACCCCATTGGAAGATGGCTGGTGTTACAAAAATAAAAATCTTTACATACAACCAGTAATATAAACAAAAGCATGAGAAACTTGACAAGACCTAAATGCTTTGTTAAGATTTCTAAACAGTTTATACATTCCAGATATAAACCAGTTAAACAGTGAAACTTACCTGATATTTTGGGGAATAAGGTGACTGAGGACCATATCAATAAGCTCTGGTTTAAATTCACTAAGAAGGTAGCCACCACACAGTGCCTCTTCTAATGGGTAATACTGAAGAGAAAAAATATATACAGGATATGATGAAGCATTAGAATGTAGTAGACAGGTGTTGACGAATTGAGGATGTCCACACGGAGATAAACAGTGTAGTATGTTACTGTATATTCTGACGCTAAAGAATATCTATGATATGCAATTTGCATCTGTTTTTGGGTGGGTTTCCTCAGTTCATATACAATGCATGTACACAATGATGCAAATAAACTCATTTTTCAATTTTTATGCAAAACACATCATCAGATTAAGAAGCTCGGTGTCTCTACAATATTCCTCAAACACATTTAAATAACTCATAAATGCAATTTTTTTATTATTCAGAGCTTCAGGACTCTAGGGACCTCTGAGGACTTGACTTCCAAACCCTCTTGAGTTATCGGGACGTCCTGCATTATGTTTGTTCTTGACCTCATAACTGGGAATTATATAAAATTGAGGAAGATGGCACAAGGCTGACAGGTGGTGAAAGAGAAAATTGCAGAGTTGAACTTTAATGGAAAGATTTTGTCTGTGGACAGGGTTCTTCAGTCCTCAATCCCAGTTTTCAGTCTCCAATCAGCAGTCTCCAATCTCCAGTTTGACTTAAGAAGTCTGTCCACAGGCAAATATCTAAACAAAATTGTTCTTTACCATCACACAGAATGTACAACCTGACTTCTTTAAGACTTCAACAAACACACTGAATGTTTTGTCGTCACTTACATGCAACTGTTCCGAGAGGCCACACGTGTAAGACTGGGGCCGCTCCTTGTCTTTAAACCGGAAAGTCATACTACTCAGGTCTCGGCACTCATCAAACACCCACTGCTGTGGTCCCTCTTTCTTCAGTAAGTTCAAATACTACAAAAACATAGGAAAGTTTAACACAGAATTCCATTCCTTTTACATTTAAAAAGGTGCTTAAAATTTTTTATTCTATTCCATTTACATTAGAAAAAGGTGCTTTAAAAAAAAGTTAAGAGAATCTCTTCTCACAATGTGCTTTCAGCTAATAGTGAATCAAACTAAGGACCTAATATTCACAAATAATCCATATTTAGGAGAGGAAACTAACAATGTTTCAGTCAGTCCTGGACTATTGTCACGTCAGCCATGACTTGATGATTGTCCACGACTGACCAAAATGTTGTCATAGTTTACTCACCTAACTGCAGATTATTTGTGAATTTTTCAGCCATGATACTGTGATTTTCTTCTCTTAAGGACCTTATAAACCATACCATGGGTGGGACTTGAACTTGCAGTTAATGAGCCATAAAACTCCAAACCAACACATAGCCACTGGGCCAGGTGTGCTAAAGCATTGGTCTGGAGTTTTACGACTCACTAACTGCGAGTTCAATCCCTGCCCGTGGTACGGTTTGTTTGCAATCATGTCATAACGATTTCACGAGTTAAGGACTTTATACACAGCTAACATACAGGTACTTTATCACTAATCAACAAACACTGATGATTTCTTCAGCAAAGAACAATGTCTTTTTTGACAAATCAGACATGTTCAACATCTGGGTATCTTTACTATGTAGACATATCACTAACCATTTACTTTATCAATACAATACAGAAGACTGGAAAAGTAAAAGATGAGGTAATCAGCCCTTTGGTCTAGAAGCAGGTGTTCAGTACCTCAGTCCTAATGAATCTGAAGTACTGAACACCTGCTCCTAGACTGAGGGACTGATTACCTTATCTTCTACCTCCTCAGTCTTCTGTACTGTATTAATAAATCCAATGGATGACAAAAAGTATGCATAGTAAAGTTACCCAGATGTTGAGTACGTGTGTAACTTAACATCTTGTTAGTACTGTATACCACTAACATTCAATATCCTTCTTTAATGACAAAATAATAACACAGCAATGATGAAAATATCTCAATTACTGACACATTAACAACTTAACAGTCATGATAAATACCTGAAACACGGCAGAGACAATATCTTCAACATGCTCGATTCCCTCTTCAGTCAAGTCCACATTGACAACAAAGAATGCAAAGCCCTTAGCACCAGACTTTTGACCACCAACTAGTGAGTTGACCCAGCCCTGGCCTTTAAGGTAGGACAGTAATGAACCAGGACCCTCGTGACCAATGAGGTGACCTAGGTAATGGCCCGGCTGTAAAAAATTGACAAAATTCTCATCGGTGCTATATACTATTAACAACACATGTGTATGCATGTGCTGTGGATTTAATTTGGAATTGGCAACAAATATCATTTTATTCCATTACATAACCTGATAACAGATCATTGTATCAATAATGTTTCATTGAAGGCAAACGTATTCACAGGAGATGATGCTTTAAGGAAACTGGAACTAAACAAACAACATTAAAAGGAGACCCTGTAAACTTCCTTACTAAATTTAGAGAGTGAAACACTCCAGTAGAAGGATGTGGATAATGTTGAAAATGATCTTATAAAAGTGTGGTCATTAAATTCAAGAGTAGACACCTCTGACAATCTGCAAATTATCTAGTACAGAAAATTAGACAAAACTCTTGCTGATCTACCATCAATGTCAAGCTCAATCAAAGGATGTATCAAAAGAGCATTCCTTATCATCAGAATGCACTTATTCTTTTGAATACCAGCAACAACAAACCAAAATCATACAACTATGGTTGGGGGAAGGGGAGAGAAGTGAATAGGCTAATACTGTCTTTTTTCAAAGAGATACCATGTGACCTTCTTGCTGTGTGTGGGTGTCGCACTAGCCAAACCATGAGATGCAAGTGCAAGAGTTCAGAAATTTTGTACATCTTATCAACTTGTCAGAATTTTATGCTATTTTCAACAAAGGAAGAGGATAAATAGGCAAATACAAAGGAGTATTAGTCAGTCTTCACTTAGCAGACGGGAGACTGAATAACCACCTCCCTTTATAAGAACATAAGAAGGAAGGCGGGGTAGGGGTCATCCTCGAAAAGGTTGGAGGGAGGGGGTAAAGGAGATGTTGTGGGCGAGGGGTTTGGACTTCCAGCAAGTGTGCATGAGCGTGTTAGATAGGAGTGAATGGAGACAAATGGCATTTTGGGACCTGACGAGCTGTTGGAGTGTGAGCAGGGTAATATTTAGTGAAGGGATTCAGGGAAACCGGTTATTTTATATAACCGGACTCGAGTCTTGGAAATGGGAAGTACAATGCCTGCACTCTAAAGGAGGGGTTTGAGATATTGGCAGTTTGGAGGGATATATTGTGTATTTTTATATGTATATACAGTACTTCTAAACTGTTGTATTCTGGGCACCTCTGCAAAAACAGTGATTACGTGTGAGTGAGGTGAAAGTGTTGAATGATGATGATGAAAGTATTTTCTTTTTGGGGATTTTCTTTCTTTTTGGGTCACCCAGCCTCGGTGGGAGACGGCCGACTTGTTGGAAAAAAAAAAAAAAAGAACTTCCTAGGTAGTAGGTTGGTAGATATCAACCACCCAGGGAGGTACTACCGTTCTACTGAGTGTAAAATAAAAGCCTGTAATTGCTTTACATGATGGTTGGATTGTTGGATTGTCTTTTTTCTGTCTCATAAACATGCAAGAGTTCAGGTACATCTTGCTACTTCTACTTACACTTGGGTCACAGGAGGAGGAAAACAACAGTCAAGGACCAGGTAATCAGGCTGAGGAAGGAAGGAGGAGAGATCACAAGAAACAACCGTGAAGTATGTGTGGAACTCAACATGAGATTCAAAGAAGTGTTCACAGAGGAGACAGAAGAGGCTCCAGAAAGATGGAGAGGTGGGGTACACCATCAAGTGTTGGACACATTACATACAACTGAGCAAGATGTGAAGAGGCTGTTAAGTGAGCTAGATACCTCAAAGGGGGTGGGGCCAGATAACACCTCTCCATGGGTCCTGAGAGAGGGAGCAGAGGTGCTATGTGTACCCCTAACAACAATATTCAATACATCTGTCGAAACAGGGAGATTGCCTGAGGCATGGAAGACAGCAAATGTAGTCTCAATTTTTAAAAAAGGAAACAAACATGAAGCATTAAACTATAGACCAGTGTCACTGATATGTATAAAATGCAAAGTTACTGAGAAGATTATCAGAAGAGTGGTGGAACACCTAGAAAGGAATGAGCTTATCAATGACAGCCAGCACGGTTTCAGGGACACGAAATCCTGTGTCACAAGCCTACTGGAGTTCTATGACAGGGTGACAGCAGTAAGACAAGAGAGAGAGAGGGGTGGGGAGAGTGCATTTTCTTGGAATGTAAGAAGGCATTTGATGCAGTTCCACACAAGAGATTAATGCAAAAGCTGGAGGACCAGGCAGGGATAACAGAGAAGGCACTACAGTGGATGAGGGAATACCTGTCAGGAAGACAACAGCGAGTCATGGTACGTGGCAAGGTGTCAGAGTGAGCATCTGTGACGAGTGGGGTTCCACATGGGCCAGTCCTAGGACCAGTGCTGTTTCTGATATTTGTGAATGACATGACGGAAGGAATAGACTCTGAGGTGTCCCTGTTTTTAGATGATGTAAAGTTGATGAGAAGAATCCAATTGGACAAGGACCAGGCAGAACTACAAAGGGATCTGGACAGGCTGCAGGCCTGGTCCAACAACTGGCTCCTAGAATTCAACCCCACCAAGTGCAAGGTCACGAAGATTGGGGAAGGGCAAAGAAGACCGCAGATGGAGTACGGTCTAGAGGGCCAGAGACTACAAACTTTGCTAAAGGAAAAAAGATCTTGGGGTGAGTATAACACCAGGCACATCTTCTGAGGCACACATCAACCAAATAACTGCTGTAGCATATGGGCACCTAGCAAACCTAAGAACAGCATTCCAACATCTTAATAAGGAATCATTCAGGACCCTGTACACTGTGTACGTTAGGCCCATATTGGAGCCTGCAGCACCAGTTTGGAACCCACACCTAGCCAAGCACATAAGGAAACTAGAGAAAGTGCAAACGTTTGCAACAAGAGTAGCCCCAGAGCTAAGGGGTATGTCCTATGAGGAGAGGTTAAGGAAAATTGACCTGATGAAACTAGAGGACAGGAGAGATAGGGAAGACATGATAATGACACACAAAATACTGAGAGGAATCGATAAGGTGGACAGAGACAGAATGTTCCAGAGATGGGACACAGCAACAAGGGGTCACAGTTTGAAATTGACGACTCAGATGAATCACAGGGATGTTAGGAAGTATTTCTTCAGTTACAGAGTTGTGAGGAAGTTAAATAGTTTGAGAAGTGATGCAGTGGAGGCAGGATCCATACATAGCTTCAAGAAGAGGTATGATAAAGCTCATGGAACAGGAAGAGAAACCCAGCAGCGGCAAGTGAAGAGGTGGGGCCAGGAGCTGTAACTCAACCCCTGCAACCACAACTAGGTGAGTACAACTAGGCAAGTACATGCATGTACAAGTATGTATATACACACCCCTCTGGGTTTTCCATTTTCTTATTAGTTCTTGTTCTTGTTTATTTCCTCTTATCTCCATGGGGAAGTGGGACAGAATTCTTCCTCTGTAAGCCATAGGTGCCGTTAGAGGCAACTAAAATGCCAGGAGCGAGGGGCTAGTAACCCCTTCTCCTGTATACATTACCAAAGTTAAAAAGAGAAACTTTTGTTTTTCTTTTTGGGCCACCCTGCCTCGGTGGGAAACAGCCAATTTGCTGAAAGAAGAAGAGAACTTACTGCGTTAGGCCTGCTGGGGTAATCTATTCCAAAGTCCTTCAAGAATTCCGAGAAATACCGATAAAGAGTCACATAATACACCCAGCTTTGGAGCTGATGTCTGGGCACCTCTAACCCCTCTCAAGACTTAGTAGTGACTAACCACTTATTAACCTGAATGAGCCACGCGAGTTCAATACTTTACATAACGTAATAACAATTAGGAAGGAAAGGGTAGGGGAAATTATCAGTAAAAGTTAAAAACTAGTTAAGGATATGGATACCTATACAGTGGTACCTCGGGTTACGAACAGCTCAAAACTCGAACAATTATGTAAGTGTATTTACGTAAGTAAGTGTATTTTTGGGGGTCTGAAACGGATTAATCTAATTTACATTATTCCTCATGGGAATAAATTTGTTCGGTATCAGCACTCGAACAGCCGTCTGGAACTAACTAATTTTGTATCCCAAGGTACCACTGTATATGATCAGTACTGGTTACAGTACCAAATACAGTATAATTAATCCCTGCTTACTCTATACTGCTACAGAACAATCTACTCATTTAAAGAGAAATATCTTGAGGAAACCTCATTGTGCTATAGATCTCTTTTACAGAGATTTTATTGTCCCACTTACGGAGGTTTTATAGTGTGGATGAAGATCTGGAATGGGGAAAGTGATGTAAAGGTTACGGATGTCCTTCACGGGCACAACATAACATAAACGTCGACACTGATCTGGTCCGAAAGGGTGGGTTGTCCATTCAGGTACAGTCACGTTTTTGTTCTCCACTTCAGTGAACAGATTTATGACCATAGCTTCAAGCTCGTCTAAGCTCTCTGTTGATCAAAAAGTTTAATGTTAAACAGAGTTAAAGGACAAAATTAATTACATCATGTTAAATCATATCAAGATTTAACCCTTTCAGTGTCGAGACCACTGATCCCTAACTCACTCTCAGTGTCGAAAACTTAAAAAAAAAAAAAAAATTATTTTCTCTTTTGAAATGACAGAGAATCTTTTCCCGAGGGTAATGACACCAAAATTATGAAATTTGATGGAAAACTTACGAGATAATGCTCTCATGAAGTTAGCGCTCTCAGTGATATTTACACATTGGTGATTTTGTCCACTTTGAGCCCTATTTCTGGCCAATTCCATTGCTCCAGTCGGCTAGAACCATAGCTATTTTGCTAGAACTCCATTTGTTCTATCGAATGAGTACAAGAAACTGCCCATTTACCAATTTCAACTACTCAATAAAGCGGTCATAAATTGGCAATTTGGCCAATTTCACACAATTTCAAAAGATGCCAATTTCAAAATAGGGTCCAGAATAAACAAGGCAGACATTCCTGGCACTAAAATAACATTTTCTCTGTTCATTAGTCACATCTCCAGGCCCCTCTTGCTTTCCATTTTGAATTTTATTCTCACAAAAAATAGAAGAGGAGGCTGGAGGCAGTGGAGATGTCCTGTCTAAGGGCAATGTGTGGTGTAAACATTATGCAGAGAATTCGGAGTGTGGAAATTAGGAGGAGAAGTGGAGTTACTAAAAGTATTAGTCAGAGGGCTGAAGAGGGGTTGTTGAGGTGGTTTGGTCAATTAGAGAGAATGGATCAAAGTAGAATGACTTGGAGAGCGTATAAATCTGTATGGGAAGGAAGGAGGGATAGGGGTCGTCCTCGAAAAGGTTGGAGGAGGGGGTACAGGAGGTTTTGTGGGCGAAGGGCTTGGATTTCCAGCAAGCGTGTGCGAGCATGTTAGATAGGAGTAAATGGAGACGAATGGCTTTTGGGACTTGGCGAGCTGTTGGAGTGTGGGCAGGGTAATATTTAATGACTGAATCAGGGAAACCATTTATTACAGATTTAGCCGGACTTGAGTCCTGGAAATGTGAAGTACAATGCCTGGACTTTAAAGGAGGGGTCTGGGATATTGACAGTTTGGAGGGACTTCTAAACTGTCATATCAGAGCGCCTCTGCAAAGACAGTGATTACGTATGAGTGACGTGAAAGTGTTGAATGATGATGAAAGCATTTTCTTTTTGGGGATTTTCTTTCTTTTTTTGTCTGCCTCAGTGGGAGACGGCCGACTTGTTGGAGAGAGAGAAAAAGAAAAAAAAAAGTATAGGTAAATGGAAAACAAGGTGAGAACCTCAAATGGGCAGTGCAGTACATCAAGTGAGTGTTAAGTAACATGCAGAAAGAAAGATATGCATTGATATTTTTAACATACAGGCCATCTCCCATCTTAGTAGGGTGACCCTCCAAAAAAAGGAAACATTATCCCTCACTCATTCAACAGCTGCCTTGCCAGAAATGTGCCGACATAACAATTCAATGAGCCTTCAAACAGCAACACCCTCACCCATTCTTCAGAGTACAGTCACTGAACTACGCACCTTCACAACTCAAAAGCTCATAGATGGGGCTCAAGTTTAATTTCTTACCTTTTCCCAAGAGGGCAAGAGCCATGATGTTTGAAGAATACCACTTAGCATGGAACTGAAGGAGAGCATCACGAACAACAATGCCTTTCTCCTTGGGAATGGTTTCTAGAGTCTCCTTGTTACCTGTAAAGAAGTCAAGTTGCCATTCAGCACTTTTACACACTAAAACTGATACAGATAATAGAAACTATTAATATTTACTGTACAACTAAATTAATAATACAAGTAATAAAAGTAACAGATCAGGCCTCCACCTGATCTGTTACCAGACCATAGGGAAGGCCTGATCTGTTACCAGACCATAGGGAAGGCCTGATCTGTTACCAGACCATAGGGAAGGCCTGATCTGTTACCAGACCATAGGGAAGGCCTGATCTGTTACCAGACCATAGAGAAGGCCTGATCTGTTACCAGACCATAGGGAAGGCCTGATCTGTTACCAGGCCATAGGGAAGGCCTGATCTGTTACCAGACCATAGGGAAGGCCTGATCTGTTACCAGACCATAGGGAAGGCCTGATCTATTACCAGACCATATGGAAGGCCTGATCTGTTACCAGGCCACAGGGAAGACTTGATCTGTAATACACAAATAATCAGCACATAGGAGAATGAAACTTACGACTACATTTCAGTCCATCTTGGACCATCAATGTTCCATGTCGTCATAAGTTTCTTTCTCCTATGTGTAGGTTATTTGTGTATTGTTTGTGTCACAGTATTGTGCCTTTTTATACCATGATCTGTAATAGGTACAGCATATGGGAGAGGAAAAAAGTAGAAGTTTCATGTTGAAAAATAAAATAATATTCTGTGTTGGTATATTTTCTAATGGCTTAATGTCCTTCACAAAAGTGAATGTGAAAGACAATGATATTTTTATTATTTGTAGATAGCAAGAAATTCCCACTGCAAATTCCACTGATCATGCAACTAAAATACATGTACATAATTTATTTTCTAATGAAAACTGCTTGTCATATTATATAGTAGGTTGGTAGACAGCAACCTTCCAGGGAGGTACTCCCTTCCTGTCAAATGAGCGCTAAATGGAAACCAGTTAAATGTTTTGCACTCTGGGAAGAGCGCTGATCCTTTGTCTCATGAACACACAATACGACAGGTAAATCTAACAAACTTCTATGTCAGCTCAGTATATTCATATCATTACTTTCTCGTGTAGTACTTCTTAATAGTTATATTTTTGTAATATTTTATTTCCAAACTAAGAAAAGTCCTTATGGAGGGGGACTCCCCTTCCAAACACTAACCCCAACTCCCTCTCTCCTCCTCCCTATCTTCCAGATGCCATCACCAATCTTCAATAAAGGTAAGTAAAAATGTTATTTTATAAGTTTATTTAAATTTATTAATAATTGTACACTATATGTTTTGTGGGAAAGGGGCTTGGACTTCCAGCAAGCATGCATGAGCATGTTAGATAGGAGTGAATGGAGACGAATGGTACTTGGGACCTGACAATCTGTTGGAGTGTGAGCAGGGTAATATTTAGTGAAGGGATTCAGGGAAACCGGTTATTTTCATATAGTCGGACTTGAGTCCTGGAAATGGGAAGTACAGTGCCTGCACTTTGAAGGAGGGGTTTGGGATATTGGCAGTTTGGAGGGATATGTTGTGTATCTTTATACGAATATGCTTCTAAACTGTTGTATTCTGAGCACCTCTGCAAAAACAGTGATTATGTGTGAGTGTGGTGAAAGTGTTGAATGATGATGAAAGTATTTTTCTTTTTGGGGATTTTCTTTCTTTTTTGGGTCACCCTGCCTCGGTGGGAGACGGCCGACTTGTTGAAAAAAAAAACAAAAAAAAAAACACTATATTTGTTGTGTGTATGTAAAACTATAATGTAATACTATCTATAAAATGTATTTTTTTGTGAATATTTTTGGGTTTCTGGAACAGATTAATTGTATTTCCATTATTTCTTATGGGAAATATTGCTTCGCCTTTCAAACTTTTCGACTCTAGAACTAGCTCCTGGAACGGATTAAGTTCGAAATTTGAGGTTCCACTGTACCAACACTCTTATATGTGTGTGAAGCATGGGTGGTGAATGTTGCAACAAGGAGAAGGCAGTGGAGATGTCATGTCTGAGGGCAATGTGTGGTGTGAATGTAATGCAGAGAATTTGTAGTTTTGAAATTAGGAGAAGGAGTGGGATTACCAAAGCTATTATCCAGAAGGCTGAGGAGGGGTTGTTGTGGTGGTTTGGACATGTAGAGAGGAAGGAGCAAAATAAAATGACTTCGAGAGTGAATAAATCTGTAGTAGAGGGAAGGTGGGGTAAAGGTCAGTCTAGGAAAGGTTGGAGAGAGAGGGTAAAGGAAGTTTTGTTTGTGAGGGGCCTGCACTTCCAGCAAGCATGCGTGAATGTGGTAGATAGGAGCAAATGGAAACAAATGGTGTTTAGGACTTTACGTGCTGTTGGAGTGTGAGCAGGGTAATACTTATGAAGCGATTCAGGGGAAACCGGCAGGCCGGACTTTGAGTCCTGGAGATGGGAAGTACAGTGCCTGCACTCTGAAGGAGAGGTGTTAATGTTGCAGTTTTATAACTTTAGTATAAGCACACCTTTGGCAAGACAGTGATGGAGTGAATGATGGTGAAAGTTTTTCTTTTTCGGGCCACCCTGCCTTGGTGGGGAAACACCCAATGTGTTAAATATAAAAGGTAACGGCAGTCTTATTTAAAAAAATATATGAAAAACTGGCATGAAAAGCAACTTACATTTATGCAAAACTTGGGTATCTTTATTCTGGAAACATTTTACTAACCACTGGCTGTATCAATCCAATACAAAGAAAACATTTTGTCTGTGTTGGATCAGCAAATCCACACGCTGACAAAAAATTCCACAACAAAGATCCTGAAATGTTGCACAAATACTATCTCATCTATCTTTCAGTCTATTTTTTTAACCCTTTGACTGTCGCGGCCGTATATATACGTTTGTGAGGTACCGTGTTTGACGTATATATACTCATAAATTCTAGCGGCTTCAAATCAGGTAGGAGAAAGCTAGTAGGCCCACATGTGAGAGAATGGGTCTGTGTGGTCAGTGTGCACCACATAAAAAAAATCCTGGAGCACGCAGTGCATAATGAGAAAAAAAAAACTCCGACCGTTTTTTTTAATTAAAATGCCGACTTTGTGGTCTATTTTCGTATAGTATTTGTGGTTGTATTCTCGTTTTCATGGTCTCATTTGATAGAATGGAAACTATATTATAGAAATGGAGGTAATTTTGATTAATTTTACTATAAAAAGAACCTGGAAATGGAGCACAAAGTACAGGAAATGTTTGATTTTTGCCGATGTTCAAAAGTAAACAAATGATGTCATTGTCCAATAAATGTCCAAATAGCCATTCTAATACGCAGTCATGAATGGGTTGATGTAATTTTTACAATTATTACAGTATTGCAGTAGTCTGCATAACAGTAAATCTTCTATTTTTTGTTTGAATAAAATTTCAAAATAAAAAGCAAGAGTAATATCACAGGGACCTGGAGACATGACTGATGAACAAAGAAAATCTTATTTTAGAGCCAGGAATGTCTGCATTGTTCATTCTGGACCTTATTTTGAAATTGTCGTATTTTTTAATTTTCGTGAAATTGGCCAAATTGCAAATTTCTGACCATGTTATTGGGTAGTTGAAATCGGTAAATGGGCAGTTTCTTGTGCTCAATCGATAGAAAAAATAGAGTTCTGAAGAAATAGTTATGAGTTTGGTTGACTGGAATAACGGAATTAGCCGAAAATAGGGCTCAAAGTGGGCGAAATTGCCGATTTTTAAATATCGCCGAAGTCGCTAACTTCGCGAGAGCGTAATTCCGTCAGTTTTCCATCAAATTTCGTTTTTTTGGTGTCTTTACAATCGGGAAAAGATTCTCTATCATTTCATAAGAAAAAATAATTTTTTTTTTTTTTGAATATTTTGCGACACCAGGAGCAACTTCAGGATTGGGCCCTTCGACAGTCAAAGGGTTAAACAGTTTATAATAATAAAGGTCTACTCACAGTACAAGAACAATAATAGCTTCACTAACCTGTACCAAATTTGCTGAAGTCATGTTCTAGATCAGCTGTAGCTTTCTCCAGCTGTGCAAGCCTCCAATAATCATTCTGTATGTTCTTCTCGTGCTCAGAGTTAACAGCATTCACTTCACGTTCTACTGCACTCTCTGTAAATAGTGGTGTCACAAAGAACTGAGAAAATCTGAAATAGGGGAAAGAAAATTTCAGTCAGGATCGAGAGTACATACACAGTAATACTATATATCAACATAAAATATTGGCAGTTTGGAGGGATATGTTGTGTATCTTTACACGTATATGCTTCTAAACTGTTATTCTGGGTACCTCTGCAAAAACAGTGATTATGTGTGAGTGAGGTGAAAGTGTTGAATGATAATGAAAGTACAGTGGACCCCCGCATAACGATCACCTCCGAATGCGACCAATTATGTAAGTGTATTTATGTAAGTGCGTTTGTACGTGTATGTTTGGGGGTCTGAAATGGACTAATCTACTTCACAATATTCCTTATGGGAACAAATTCGGTCAGTACTGGCACCTGAACATACTTCTGGAGTGAAAAAATATCGTTAACCGGGGGTCCACTGTATTTTCTTTTTGGGGATTTTCTTTCTTTTTGGGTCACACTGCCCCGGTGGGAGACGGCCGACTTGTTAAAAAAAAAAAAAATATTTGATCAATACTACGTCATGTGTACTGCAACTATACGTAGTACATACAGCGGAACCTCAGTATGCGACCTTAATTCATTCCAGAAGGCTGTTCAAGTGCTGCCCCGTTTGAGTATTGAACAAGTTCTTCACAACCAGTTTTCTGTTTGGTTGGCTGTTATCACTAATCTTCATAGGCCCCATTTGACTTATTTATAAAAAAAATACAAAAAACACCAAAAAATGGGAAGAAACATGAAAGTGTTTACAGGGAAGCTCTGGCAGGCCGTATTTGTTTGGTCGAGTGCTGAGCTTCGTTCAAGTAGGGAGCTGGTCGTATACCAAAGTTCCACTGTATAGGGACATTAACATGGGTGTGCTAGTGATGTCAGACACCCACCAGAGATGGTAACTTCATTATAAATATTAATCTCACTCAGTAATACAACAGGAAACTAATATTTCTGACCCCTGTTATGAAATATTGAGGCAGTTGTTCTGAGTAATATTTATGCCAGAGTAGTAGGTTCAGCACAGTAGTACAGTGCACACACTATGACAATAGCCACCATACATCACTGGTGTTAACATTAGTCATTCACTGTCAGACAGCTCTATTTCTATCATAATGATATGATCCCAATATGCTAAATTAACCCTTTGAGGGTTTTGGTCGTACTAGTACGTCTTACGCGTAGGGGTTTTTGACGTACTAGTACGCATAAATTCTAGCGGCCTCAAATCTAGTGGGAGAAAGCTGGTAGGCCTTCATATGAAAGAATGGGTCTATGTGGTCAGTGTGCACAGTCTAAAAAAAATCCTGCAGCACACAGTGCATAATGAGAAAAAAAAAACTTTGACCATTTTTTTGGAATAAATCAGCGACTTTGCAGTGTATTTTCGTATGGTATTTATTGTTGTATTCTAGTTTTCTTGGTCTCATTTTATAGAATGGAAGACATATTACAGAAATTGAGATGATTTTGACTGGTTTTACAATGAAAGGTGCCTTGAAATTGAGCTCAAAGTAGCAGAAATGTTTGATTTTTACCAAACTTCAAAAGTAAACAAATCGTGCCAAGCGTGCAATACACGTCAACTGGCGAGTCTAATATTCTTTCACAAGTGCACCAATAATATTTATACCATTTTTTACACTAATGCAGTAGTCTGCATAACAGTAAATCTTATATTTTTTGTGAGAATAAAAATTCAAAGTGGAAAGCAAAAGAATATAAGAGGGGCCTTGAGACGTGACTAATGACTAGAGGAAATGTCATTTTAGTGCCAGGAATGTCTTTCTTGTTTATTCTGGACCCTATTCGGAAATTGGCATCTTTTGAAATTTGTGTGAAATTGGCAAAATTGCTAAATTCTGACCACTGTACTGGGTAGTTGAATTTCATAAATGGGTGGTTTCTTGCACCCATTCGATAGAAAAAAATGGAGTTATAGCGAAATATTCATGTTTTTTGTCGACTAGTACAGTGAAATTGGCCGAAAATGGGGCTCAAAGTGGGCAAAATCGCCGATGCGTAAACATCGCCGAGACTGCTAACTTTGTGAGAGCATAATTCCGTAAGTTTTCTATCAAATTTCAAACTTTTGGTGTCTTTATGATCGGGAAAAGATTCTCTATCTTTTCATAAGAGAAAATAATTTTTTTTTTTTTAAATTTGGCCGACCCTGAGAACGAGTTTCGGAGAGGGCCTGTCGACCCTCAAAGGGTTAAAATAACCAAAATGACCATCTTATATCTATTCAAATTATTACCTTAAGACCATCACCGGTACTAGCATACATGTTACTGCACTTCTTACTCACATTCCACTTTACACTAGCCCCTTAGCACTCAAAACTTCCTTAACCCTCTACATCAAACCTTTCATGGGATGACCCCTGCCAAACCTTCCCTCCACCCCACATTTATATCCTCTCCTAGTCATTTAATTTTGCTCCATTCTCTCTAATGCCCAACCCACTTCAACAACTCCTCAGCCCTCTGAATAATACTTTGGTAACCCCCATACATTTTAATCTTCATGCTCCAAATTATCTACACAATTTTCATGCTACACATTGCTCTCAAACATGACATCACCGCTTGCAGCCTCCTCCTCACTACCCATGTCTCATATCCATAAAACAGTGTTGGTACTACTATACTCTTGATATATTCCACTTTTTTGCCACCATGGATGAAGTTCTTCGTCTTCACAGATGCCTCAATGCACCACCCACCTTTTTATTTTTACCCTTGTCAGATCTATGGCTCACCCCATTTTTCAAGAACCTGTGGACAGCAAGTGCACTTCCAAATCTGCAAACACATGCACTCCTTCCCTCCAATCTGATATCAAATCTTTCATTACATACTAATTTTGTTACTCTTATCACCTTGCTCTTTCTTATGTTCACTTTTAATTTCTTTGCTTTACATAGCCTCCCAAGTTCCTTCACCAACTTTTGCAACTGTTTTCAGAATCTCTCAAAAGAACTGTCATTGGCAAAACAACAACAGTGACAATTCCCACTTTGTATTAAATTTATTATCTTTTAATTTCACCATATAAAAACTCTTTTTAAATTCATAAAAACAAAATGTTCTTTAACCCCTTCACTGGCAGTGCCATAGTACTACACCATGAACTCACCCAGATAAACTGTGAGTGGTAAATTTGGGCCTAGATATGGGAGAGTGGGTCTATATGGTAAGTGCACCATATAAAAAGGATCCTGAAGCACGGATTGCATAATGAGAAAAAAACTGCGACCATGTTTCTGGCTTAAAATAGCAAATTTGCAGTGTATTTTCCTATTGTTTTTCTAGTTGTATTCTCAGTTTCTTAGTCTCATTTGATAAAATGGAAAGTACGTATATTACAGAAATGGAGATGATTTAGATGGGTTTTAGGACTGAAAATAGCTTGAAATTGAGCTCAAAGTACCAGAAATTTTCAATTTTTGTTGATATTCAAGATTAGGTGATGAAAGATTGGATATCAGATTGGAGGGAGAGAGTATGGAGGAGGTGACTGTATTCAGATATTTGGGAGTGGACGTGTCAGTGGACGGGTCTATGAAAGATGAGGTGAATCATAGAATTGATGAGGGGAAAAGGGTGAGTGGTGCACTTAGGAGTCTGTGGAGACAAAGAACTTTGTCCTTGGAGGCAAAGAGGGGAATGTATGAGAGTATAGTTTTACCAACGCTCTTATATGGGTGTGAAGCATGGGTGATGAATGTTGCAGCGAGGAGAAGGCTGGAGGCAGTGGAGATGTCATGTCTAAGGGCAATGTGTGGTGTGAATATAATGCAGAGAATTCGTAGTTTGGAAGTTAGGAGGAGGTGCGGGATTACCAAAACTGTTGTCCAGAGGGCTGAGGAAGGGTTGTTGAGGTGGTTCGGACATGTAGAGAGAATGGAGCGAAACAGAGTGACTTCAAGAGTGTATCAGTCTGTAGTGGAAGGAAGGCGGGGTAGGGTTGGCCTAGGAAAGGTTGGAGGGAGGGGGTAAAGGAGGTTTTGTGTGCGAGGGGCTTGGACTTCCAGCAGGCATGCGCGAGCGTGTTTGATAGGAGTGAATGGAGACAAATGGTTTTTAATACTTGACGTGCTGTTGGAGTGTGAGCAAAGTAACATTTATGAAGGGGTTCAGGGAAACCGGCAGGCCAGACTTGAGTCCTGGAGATGGGAAGTACAGTGCCTGCACTCTGAAGGAGGGGTGTTAATGTTGCAGTTTAAAAACTGTAGTGTAAAGCACCCTTCTGGCAAGACAGTGATGGAGTGAATGATGGTGAAAGTTTTTCTTTTTCGGGCCACCCTGCCTTGGTGGGAATCGGCCAGTGTGATAATACGTAATAATAATAATAAAATTCAAGAGTAGACAAATCACGTCACTTGTCCAATACATGTCCAACTGGTGAATCTACTATACATTCATGAGTGTGCTGATATTATTTATACAATTATTACTATACAGCATAACAGTAAATCTTCTATTTTTTGTGTGAATAATAAGACAAAATGGAATTCATGTGTAAAGCCTGGGAACGTAACTAAAGAAGAGAAGATATGTTATTTTAGTGCAAGGAATGCCTGCATTGTTCTGGACCCTATCTTGGAATATGAATATTTAGAAATTTGTGTGAAATTGACCAAATTACCAATTTCTGATCACTTTACTGGGTAGTTGAAATAGTTGATTCGGCAATTTCGTGAGTTCAGTTGATAAAATGGAAGACGTACTAGTGAAATAGCTAAGAATTTGGTCAACTGGAACAATATAATTGGTGTAAAATAGGACTCAAAGTGGACGAAATAGCTGATGCATCAATATCGCTAACACAGCAAAATTCACGAAAGCGTAATTTCATAAATTTTCCATCAAATTTGGTACTTTTTGTTTTATTATTTTCAGAAAAAGATTTTCTACCACTTCATAAGAAAAAATAAAATATTTTTTTTTTAAATTCTTGGACACTGTGGCCAAGTTTCATATCAATGAAAGGGTTAGAGAACAAAAAGGCACAATACCATAGTTGGAGAAATATACAAATAACCAGCCAGTACATGTACTGACTCACTTCCATTCTTGTGTTAGTGTGTGACTAGTTAATGGTTCAAGCCTGGACCGAAACATTGCCATAAGTTTCTTTTTCCTATGCGAGGTTTGTGTAAAGTGTTCCCTATCTTTATCTACACATTGTTCACTTACACGTCCCTGGTTAAACCTTACCTGTCCAGTGCACCAGAAAAGGCATCAGGAGCAACATCGAAATAGTAGTTAGTGTGATCAGCAGCTGTGTAAGCATTGCTTGAGCCCCCATGCTCAGATAGGTACTTATTGTACTCATTCTCACAAGGGTATTTCTCTGTGCCCATGAACAACATGTGCTCACAGAAGTGAGCCAGCCCTGGTAATTCTCTTGGGTCTGTCATGCTGCCTGTTTGAAAAATTAAGGGTGAGATAAGATAATAATTTTAGTGCATATAAATACTGTTAATAGGACACAACATGAAAAAGTGACACTAAGTAATTATGTCAATCATGTTATAACAGTTATTAAAAGGCAAATTAATTAAAGAGGCAAATCTCAAATAAAATTAAATGCACAATGATAAGTAAAAAATATAATGATTATTATTATTGTTATTATTAAACTGTATTCATTAAGCCCACAGGGGGCAAACAATGCCTGGGAAACGAGAAGTAATTTTTCGAAGACAAAGATATATTTCAGCATGATATAATGCTTTGTGCAGAGATGGGGGACATTTGAATGTGCACGTAGAATGCCCATAGTTATGCATAGCACTTCAGGAAAGCTTAAGCCTAACTTAAGATTACAATGGCAATAACCATTATTTGCTTATATAATCAGGACATTAAGGGGATATAAACAATAAATTTAGGCAACAGAAAGAGAATAAACAAGCAGGCAATTTATTACTTATTCTATAAACCCTTAATCTTACAAGTAATAAGAATTAAGGACATATAGTTTTTTACATTTTGGTGGCTGTAAAAATTGTTTAGCACATTTAACACATTTTTAGGTATAATGCAAAGATGGTGAAGGGAAGCTTCAAATATTTGCATCAAGAGCTTTCCACCAGCATCAAGGAACTAATGTCCACAATGCACTTCATGCTAGTGGCTTTCTTAGTGCCTAACAATATTTTATTACATGTAAATTACATAAATTATATACTGCATAACTGAAATACAGTATTTGTATTTGAAGATAGCTATAATCTAAAACATAAAATCCTGTACACAGCAAAACATGTAATTTTTAATGGCCCAATGACAGGCTTTGGTACTACAGTACAGTAGTTATAAAAAGCCATTTTTCTGAAAAATTTACTGCGCAACTCACCGACATGAACATTAAGAGATGCAGCAGACTTGTCTGTTGCTGGGTCCGATATTAGCAAAACTTTTAAGTCATTGTCCAGAATGAGAGCCCGATACTCACGCTGGTCTTCCTCCGATTTGGTTACGGAGTCCACACACTGTTTAACCCCCATGCTGGCTAGACTCACACTCCTGTTCATGAGATACACACTTCACTTACATGACAAAAACAAAAATGCTGCTCTTACATCATGTAATTCTGGGAAAACTACTCACAAAAGTTCAAGAAATGTCAAAGTACAGTGGAACCTCAAAAATCGAACTGCTCCCAACTCAACCAATTATGTAAGGGTATTTTTGTAAGTGCTTTTATAAGTGTATTTTTGAGGGTCTGAAATGGACTAATCTAATTTACATTATTCCTGATGGGAATAAATTCGTTATGTAGCGACACTTGAACAGCCTTCTGGACCGAAGAAAGTTCTATATTTGAGGTTCCACTGTATTTTATTCACAGGGACATATTACCAGAAATTCTGGAAAAGTACCTGGCTATGCCCATTGTAAATAAAAATCATAACCACTAACTTGCTTAATTTAAATTTTAACTTGTTAAATACTGGGTAACATAATTAACTCATAACCACACACAAGACATTATAATTTTTTATGACCGAATTCCTGACTACGATGTGCATCTTATTTCCACTAAGGTCCATATAGATCATCTCGTAGGATGTGACCCACAAGTCAATTAGTTGGCGTCTCAACCACTAGATGAACAAGAGAGGTGTTAGGAGACCTATCTCACTATCTCAATGGAATTAAAGTATTTTATGTTCCCTATTCATTTCAGCTAGTCTTTAACCCTTAAACTGTCCAAACATAGATATACGTTGACGTGTGGCAGGTCCCGAATGTATATCTACGTTTTTTTTACATGCTTTCAAATGGAGAAAATCAAGGTCGGAGCACTACGCATGTGAACATAGATCTACGTCTGGACAGTTTAAGGGATTATAGGCAGGCCCGCTTATACAGCAGGTTAGGTTCCGGGTTACTGCTGTAAAACAAAAAGCACTGTAAAGCGAAACATAGCCTTTTTCACTTTTAAATACATATAAAACCCTAATAACATGTTTACACTATCACATATTAAGTGAGTAACAGAGCTAGGCCTAAAAAATGCATATACATACAGTACACATATTACTTAACATAAAATATTTTCATCCTAAGCTTATAGCAAGTGGTGAATATATTTACTGTAGGAAGTTTGAATAAATGAAGAATGGGTATAACTTAAAACCATTACATTAGTGAAATGCCATAAAGTGAAATGCTGTAAAGCGGGGCTCTCTTGTTTAACGAAGATTAAACCAATAAAGCCAGGTTGTCACTGAGGACTGTGTTGCATTTCCATTGGGATCCTTTAATCCCTCCTGTCCCCAGGACGAGACCTACACCAGTTGACTAACACCCAGGTAATTACCTACTTACTGCTGGGTAACCAGGGGCACCAGGTGTAAGGAAACAAGCCTAACATTTCCTCTTCTGCCAGAGATCGAACCATGGTCCCTCAGGATGTGAGCTGAGGTGGCTGTCAACCAAGCCACAATCCACCTATTCAGACTATCTAATTACCAGCAAGACAGGGGCTGAAAACCCCATACAAGACAGGACGTTCAGGAAGGTTTCCTAGTAGTTATTATGTACAGTGGTACCCAGAGTTTTGTACAGCTCCCAACTCGAACAATTATGTAGTGTATTATTGTAAGTGTTTTTGTAAGTGTATTTTTGGGGGTCTGAAACAGACTAATTAATTTACATTACTCCTTATGGGAACAAATTCGTTCGGTAACGGCACTCGAACAGCCTTCTGTAACAAATTATGGCCGAAACTCGGGTTACCACTGTACAGTGGACCCCCGCTTAACGATCACCTCCAAATGCGACCAATTATGTAAGTGTATTTATGTAAGTGCGTTTGTACGTGTATGTTTGGGGGTCTGAAATGGACTAATCTACTTCACAATATTCCTTATGGGAACAAATTCGGTCAGTACTGGCACCTGAACATACTTCTGGAGTGAAAAAATATCGTTAACCGGGGGTCCACTGTACTAGGATTAGTCTGCCTGAAATGCCCCAGGAAGGCAGTGGCTTTCTTTATACATACTTAACCCTTAAACTGTCCAAACGTAGATCTACGTTTCTTCAACATTTGAAAGTATGTAAAAAAACAGATTTTTTTTTGAAAACGTGTAAAAAAACTTTGATCTACGCTTTTTTTTTATATTCGAAAATATGTAAAAAAAACGTATATCTACTTTTGGAGCACTACGCATGTGAACGTAAATTTGTTTGGACAGTTTAAAGGTTAACAAACCAAAATTGTAATTACACATTGTAACCTTTGCAAAGAAATAAAATCTTTATTCTTATTCTTATCAGCTGCCTAAGAGACAGTTGACAGATGTGGGTAACATCCTGGAAAAGGGCTGATAAATGAAGAACCCTAATGGAAATAAGCCACAATGACTAACTTAGTTGGGTTATCATGGATTATTAATAGAGAACAGAAAGGCACAATACCATGACCGGAACAAAACACAAATAACCCGCACATAGGAGAGAGAAGCTTACAACAACGTTTCGGTCCAGGTTATTTGTGTATGGATTATTAATCCTCTAGGGTTAGAAATGGAAAATAAAAGACATCATAGATATTCAAGTGGCACTGATGACTTAACCTAGGATATCCCAACAACTCATCATGCGGAAGCACTAAGCCCACAGGGGTTATAGAACACCTAATAAATGGCAGATAATCAGGCTTTATCCAAGAAAGAGGGTAGACCTCAATTACATGGATCAAGAGCCCTTCAACATGAGTGAAGGCACAAAATATTTAATTTATAACATAAGATAAGATAAGATAAGATAAGATTTCGTTCGGATTTTTAACCCCGGAGGGTTAGCCACCCAGGATAACCCAAGAAAGTCAGTGCGTCATCGAGGACTGTCTAATTTATTTCCATTGGGGTCCTTAATCTTGTCCCCCAGGATGCGACCCACACCAGTCGACTAACACCCAGGTACCTATTTGCTGCTAGGTGAACAGTTATTTTATATACATATATAAATATATACATAAATGTAAAATGTATAAAATATATGTAAAATATTGACATATATACATAAAATCAGATGTATATATGACATGCAAATTATTAAAAATATCAAAATTTATTGACAATTAATCAAAACAACATAGCAGCAAAAATTAAGACTCTAAGGTAGATATTGTTGATAGATAATATAGAAAATTATGCAGTAAACCCGTATGGGTCATACAATACTCTCAGAAATTATAATGTCAGGGTTATTAAGCAATTAAGTGTAAGTCTGATTATATAGTTTTGGATGATTGTAATTATCTTAATAGTTTATATACAATTATGGATCATTATAATTACCTTTAATAATTTATATATAATTCAGGACGATTATAATTCTCAATTTATAAACAAATTTGGATGATTATCTTAATTTACATACAAATTTGGATTATTTTAAATTATATACAATTTTGGACTATTATAATAAACAATAATTTATAAATAATTCTGGATGATTATAATTAACTTATATAACAATTTATGTGAAATCAAGAGACTTAATACCACTGGAGATAAACCCATATGGGTCATAGAGCTCCCTGGGGGAGGAGGGGGCTATTAATGGGAGGCATTCAACTCTGATCCAAGGAAAGCGAGCAGAAGTACAACACCTGGATCAAGAGCCCTCACTAGCATCAAGGAACCCTAAAAAAAAAAAAAAAAACTGAAAAACTTAAGGCAGTGGGACCAACCTGTAGGCTGACAAGAGTCCCACAGCAGTGGAGAACTTAAGAAACTGGGTGTTTCCCCAGTGGGTATTTCCCCAAGGGGGGTTCCCCCAGTGGGGTTTTCCCCAGAGTGGCCCCAAAAAGACCCTGAGGAGGGTGGCCCTGGTGGCCACACTAACTCTCCTCCTTAACTCTCCTCCATTAACCACACATGACACTACACCTCGTAACAACATCAATCAATATATATTCTCTCGTTTTAGGGGGTTTAATGGGACTGATATTATGTATAATAGACAGTACCAGAGTCTTGTTGATGTGTGGATACTGTCTATCAGCTGGCCACTGTCTATCAGCTGGCGCATGCGTCGCCTCTTTATTTCAACTTAATCATTGTCGGAAAAAAATATGTGGAATTTTTGTGGTGAATAAAGACGTCAGTTAGTATGTTTTATTATGCATGTCTAGTTAAATATGTGAGAATAAAATTGTTGCTGAGTACGGAGAGATAGATTTGTAGACGGTGGATCAAGCCTACAAAATGTATATATACCTGGTGCGTGTAATATATATATATATATATATATATATATATATATATATATATATATATATATATATATATATATATATTTTATGAAGATTATCTATATATAGATACCCTGGAGGTTACTGGACAGGTCCGGGGGTCAACGCCCCCGCGGCCCGTCTGTGACCTAGCTCTGTGATCAACTGATCAACCAGTGTTGCTGCTGCTCAATATATATATATATATATATATAATATATATATAATATATATAATATATATATAAATATATATATATATATATATATATATATATATATATATATATATATATATATATATATATATATATATATATATTATATATATATATATATATATATATATATATATACATGCAAAACAACCACTGTGAAAGAACAGTGAAATTCCAAGAGCTTTCCTGACTTTTCACATTACCAAGGAACTATGATAATGTGAAAAGTCACGAAAGCGTTTGCAATTTCACTGTTCTTTCACAGTGGTTGTTTTGCATATATATATATATATATATATATATAATATATTAATTAATTATATGCAAGGAATTCGCAAGAGCGAATCAGAAGGATTCGAACCCACGTTTCTGGGTCGTGTATTGATATATACCTATATATGTCACTTTACCTGACTTGTACCTAGTTCAGCCATCAAAACTTTGGAGCCCGGTCCCTGGACCCATTGTGTACCTCTGTAATCTGTAAATACCTTTGTAACTTGTCATGATTGTGACTAGACCTACCTGGAGTTCATTACCTTTGTAAATTGTGAGTTCATTACCTTTGTAAATTGTGAATTCATTACCTCTGTAACTTGCTCAGCTATCAAAACTTTGAGGCCCAGTCCCTGGACCCATTATGTACCTCTGTAATCTTTTGACTACCGCCCACAGGATGGGTATGGGGTGCATAATAAACATATTAAACTAAACTTTACCTGACTTCTTTGGGTTATCCTGAGCAATTTACAATATGTATAATAACTACTTATGTATACCTGCGCCTAAGTAAAATTACTTACAAATATACAGAGGCGGGGACGGGAGCTGTGAATCGATCCCCAGCAACCACATATAAGTGAGTACATACACGCGTTTCTCCATCCAGTGGCTTTATCAGTACAATACATGGACATTATCTGAGATAGGGCATTTAACCCTGGAGGGTTAGCCACCCGGGATAACTCAAGAAAGTCAGTGCGTCATCGAGGGACTGTGTCTTATTTCAATTGGGGTCCTCAATATTGTCCCCCAGGATGCGACCCACACTAGTCGACTAACACCCAGGTACCTACTTGCTTGCTAGATGAACGGGATAGCAGTTGTAAGGTAATACATCCTCCCAAAGTTTCCACCTTTGCCGAGGATCGAACTACTTACACTATGTGTGAAGCGAGAGCATCACCTACCAGGCCACGGGCCATCATGAACAGTAGAAATATATATTGAAGACACTAGAAGACGAAGTAATGAGTCCCCCAGCCTGTCCGTATACTTATTGAAATAAACATCATCATCATTATTTGGAAGTAGGTGATGAGCACAGGCTTAGGACCACAGCGTAAATCAGTCACTGACTTTTTTTGGGCTATCTCAGGTAATTTGCATATATGTTACTAAGATAACTGTACGTATTGTATTAATGTTAGTAGAATTACCGACAATTACCAGTTAATGTGACATTTTATTGTGTCAATGTTTTGCCACAATAACATGTCACACTAGTTGCACTTGTGTCCTTTTACTTAACAAATTGTACTTATGTGTACCTGTACCTAAACTAATTTAATAGGTTAGATAATATTTGTTGTGAAACAGGACAAGTGTTTCCAGCAGCGGGTCTTAGTTACATGAGGATCCGTCGCTAAATAGCAGGCAGAAAGATTGGAGCTTAAATACTGGAGTCAGGTGAGGTGCTGCAGAAGAAGGTATTGATATACTCTTTGTCAGACACAGCAATATCATGGAATCTTGGTACAGAGGACGTCTCCATAATCTACTTGCTACCTCTGGTTCAACTCTTGGGAATTACCTACTTTCACTGGGGAATTCCACCCAATGGAAATAAGTCAAGGACCCCAATGGAAATAAGTGAAGGGTCCCAATGGAAATAAGTCAAGGACCCCAATGGAAATAAGTCAAGGGCCCCAATGGAAATAAGTCAAGGGCCCCAATGGAAATAAGTCAAGGGCCCCAATGGAAATAAGTCAAGGGCCCCAATAGAAATAAGTCAAGGGTCCCAATGGAAATAAGCCAAGGGCCCCAATGGAAATAAGTCAAGGGTCCCAGTGGAAATAAGTCAAGGACCCCAATGGATATAAGTCTGTCTGACTTTTTTGTGTTATCCTACGTAATTTACACTATGGATGATAATCGTATTTATGTGTACCTGTGCCTCAATAAACTTTCTTACCAGTGACATCTTAATTACCACAACTGGATATGTTGAATGTTGAAGACAGAGTAAAACACCTGAAGTTAAATCACGTTAATAAAAGTGCTCACAAGCAGAGTCCAGAATATCTTGCTGCCAAGTTTGTCAAGGCTGGAAACCAAAACAAGTCCAGCACTTGGAGAAAGGAACACAACTTTATAGTACCCACAGTAGGCAGTCAGGCTTCAAACGCCTTATTTTACAGCAATAAAGGAATGGAACAGACTGCCTGCACATGTCCAAGCCTGTCATAGCATGACCCAGTTCAGGAAGAGAGCTAAAAGGTACCTAAAGAATGAAGCTACAGAAAGGGAGCAGAGTGATTTCTTGTATAGCTAACACGTACCTATTACTGTAACATTCATGTACCTATTACTGTGAGCTGATTATCTCTTTAATGTCAATGTAAATAACTCAGTTTACTGTTTTCCTAATAAATCTCCTTTTATTGTAACTGATTTTCGCACAGTTAAGTTACTTAGCTGTTTTAACAAGGAGCCCCAATGGAAATAAGTCACTTTGTATGACTTTTTGGGTTACCCTAGATAATCTACACATATGCTGCTATGTATGATAATTTGTGTAAATGGATATATGTGTACCTGTACCTGAATAAACTTACTTAATGCCTTCATCTGCAGCGCCTATCTGACTCCAGTACATAAGTGTCAATCTTCCTGCCTGTGCTATGGTTATAGCTGACCATAATTTTTAGAGGGTTGGACCAGTAAGCCAGCGGAAGGCCTCGGTCAGGTGACCAAAGGCTCCAACGGCGGGTCATCATGTAACTAAGACTCGTGTCAGGAAACACTTATCCTGTTTCCTGACGAACCTTACCTAACCTAACCTGCCTGTGCTTCAGATTATGACCATGTATTGCATTAATAAAGCCACTGGTTGGCGAAACGTCTAGTAAATAAAGATACCCAGATGTCTAGTTCATCATGTCGGTATTGTATACCAATGAGATAAACCTTATGACTCGACAATGGTTCAAGTTTCCGCTTTTTAACTGCAGGAGATTTGTGAAGTATCTATTTTAGTTTACGCTTTACCAAAATCAAGACAAAGAAAACGAATTTAGTAGTTTAAAATGGTATGGTTAAGTAAGTTTTATTGAGGTACAGGTACACATAATTACAGTTACATAGATTATAGTACATGCAGCGTATGTGTAGATTACCTAGAATAACCCATAAAAGTCGGAGTGATTTATTTCCATTGGGGTTGAATTTAAATAAGCTTAAGTAGTTATGAGTTGATTACAATAGGCAAATACGGATCAAGGGATACAAGTGAGGACATCTTTATTGGAGGCGTTTTCAGTCCCAGATTTGGGCTGATAATAAAGATGAAGGGATAGTATCACTGATATCAAATAACAAAAAAAGGCACAATACCGTGACTGGAACGACACACAAATAATCCGCACACAGAAGAGAGGAGCTTACGACGACGTTTCGGTCCGACTGGGACCATATACAAAGTCACACTATGTAACTTTGTAAATGGTCCAAGTCGGACCGAAACGTCGTCGTAAGCTCCTCTCTTCTGTGTGCGAGTTATTTGTGCATCACTGGTATCACAAGTATCACTGGTATCACTAGTTTCACTGGTATCACTAGTATCACTGGTGAGTAGAACCAATGGGAACTCCTGAAGCACGGTTTCTGGCACCATTTTATGACATGGGAGGTGATAACATGAAATGATATATGGGAATGTAGAATATTAAGTCACACTACCGTCGCTGAAACGATTCACAAATAACAATAATAATAATATCTTTATCTCTACATGTACAAGGTATACAGGCCTAGCTGACAGTGACATCAATGACATACTATATATAGAAAGCCTTTTGTTATGTAGGGTATTTCGGGCTAATTAGGTCAGTTTTGTCCCAGGATGCGACCCACACCAGTCGACTAACACCCAGGTACTCATTTTACTGATGGGTGAACATATACAACAAGTGTAAGAAAACACACCCAGTGTTTCAACCCTCGCTGGAAATCGAACTTGGACCCTCACCGTGCGAGAGTTTTAGCCAACCGGCCACGGGGAACCGCATTTGTTTCGCTGCATCCTGGACCATTGTCAAGTCACAACTGAGAAAGCAAGAGCTGAGAACGACCAGAGAAATACAATGAGACTAATCCCGGAGCTAAGTTGAATGAAGCTACGAGGAAAAGCTAAGGAAACTAAACTTGATGACATTAAAAGATAGAAGTACAAGCAGAGACATAATTAATAATAAAATACTCGGAGGAATTAATTACA